CGCATCTTTGATCTCTTCTCCCTGCCAAGAAACAAAAAAATGTTCAGAGGAAATGCGAAAGGAGCGTCTTACTGGCTGAGCAAGTTGACATTAGGTGGCACCTATGAACTCCTTGCTTGCTGGTACTATCATAATGCAGTCAGTATGTTGGATTTATTCAGGTCAACTGTTAAAAACATAAGTTTTTCCGGTCAGTTTTTTTTAGGGGTATTCTGGAGGAACAATCCATCGTATCCTGATCTAGAACATGGCACGCAGACGCAGCACGCAGCGTTCTCTGGTGTGCGAATAATATGCGGCGACAACGCTGATGAAAAGCAACTGAAAGTTCAATGTCTCGAAGCAAATTTGGTAGCTGACTCCAAAGTATGATTAATACTAGAAAAAAGAACAGCAATTCCATTGATGATAATATTGACAAGGGTTATGATATGCAGGACATTATAGCTGGCTTGCACATGAGTCAATCGCCTGTTGCGCTAGAGAGATGGTGCTGCCAAATTACATTGCTTTCATTCTGTTTTCCAGCTATTTTTGCTGGTATTTAGCCACTGTTGTTTATATTTGTATATACATGCATTCTAGCAGTGTCCTACCGTCATTTCCTGACTAATGATTCAGGAATAGTTTAGTGCCAGAATTTCAGAATCTTTAGGTTTTCTTTATTAAAGTCAGATGTCGGAAGTTTTTTTTTGTGGACTAAACCATTCAGTGATCGAGTAAGTGCACGGACAAAACAAAAAGTTTTCCATGTGACCTGTACGATAATATAGTTAAGAACTTCAGATGCATTATTTTTTAGAACAACTTCAGATGCATTGCCTTTGGTATATATAGCGTGTAGGCGACTACTGATACACCACGTCCACAAGTGCGATTGTCGCCGTCCTGAAAATTGCAAATACCCAACCTGTAGACTGAACCCACAGTTTTTTTTCCACTGAATTTCTGAGGTCTCCTTCGCTTATCTGAAGCTCATTTTTATGAACTTTTACTGAAGTGATGATCCAGGGCAACAAAGTTGTATATATAGTATTTTTTTAAAAAAAATACAGCTTCATTATCCAAAACTGATATGGACAGCAATAGCCCCCTCCCGCTGTTTGGAGTTGCGTTTTTAACCGTCGCAGTAGTTTCTAGCTTCAAGTCCCCCCTTTAGGCATAAGCCAGTCTGGCTGATTGCTTTGTGTAACAAAAACTCTTTTCCTGCTAATATATTGACGTACAATTCTTTTGCGCGTTCGAAAAAGAAAAGGCAGAAACTACAGCATATTTGATTTGTCGAAGTGCACTGTCAGAGACTCAGAGCATACCTAACGCGAAGAGAATGTGCATCTCTTTTAACCTGAAATCGTCAACAGCTACTACGCAAGCAGCAAGCCTTTTGCCTTGTTGCAGGCACGAAGCTAGGGCTGCATTGGCCAGCAGGTTCAACACCATGGATCGTGATTTAAACAAGGGGAGAAAAAAAAAGCCATAACCTGGTCGATCCTGACAAGAAAAGCTCAGACCAAATCTTTCTGCGTATATCTGTGAGTAGTGAGTGACGCTGCGAACAACAAGGATGAAGGATTCAAGAATCGATGCAAGTCGTCACGGCCTAATTAATTGAAAACAATCCAATGCAAGTTGGAACCGCAAGCCCATCTAGTCAGGCCGCATTGCTGCGATATTGGAGCAGAGATAGATCCAGCACTTGAGGAATTAAAGAGGGTGATTCTTTTTTCTTTTTGAGAGGAAAAGAGGGTGATTCTGATGCAACTAAACCGTGTATACATCGATTCTAAAATATAAACATTTCTAAAATTTTTTTATGGATACTAAGGAAACTAAATGGATATATAGGATCTGTTTCGCTGCCTAGGCTGCAGCTGCACAGCAGCCACCAGAAACAGTCTACACCGCAGCCCACCTAACTGGCTACCGAATAGGCTTATAATTGTACTTGGGGTGTGTTTAACTACACGCTAAAATTAGAAGTTTGATTAAAATTGAAAGTTTGAAGAAAAAAGTTAGAAGTTTATGTGTGTAGGAAAGTTTCAATGTGATGAAAAAATTAAAAGTTTGAAGAAAAAGTTGAGAACTAAACAAGGGTTTGGTTGAAATAACAAAGTAGGTGAAAAAAATAAATATTTTTTTTATAATTGATTGAGATAAATAAAAAAGCTGCTATATTTTAAGATGAATTTTAAGCATTATAAAAAGGATTGGAAGATTGCTGTAGCTCTTGAGTTGTGAGTTGTGAGACAACCAGGGTTTACGATTCCGACGAAATCCGGTCGGATTTCGTGAAATTTTGAGGTTTCGACGAGGCTCGAAAGTAGAAACCGTCTGAGATTTCGAGGAGTTTCATCCAAATTCAAATTTGAATTGATAAAAAAAGAAAAATAAAATAAAATCTTATAAATACTATGATATTCATAGAACTTATTGGGACATAAATTTTCGAAAAAAATGATGTATTGTGTGTATTTACTGAAACTTACATCATGAAAGAAAAGAATAAAGAATTAAAAAAAAGAAAACACTTACATGGGCCAGATTGCATGTACTAGGCCCAGTTACTGATCGAAATTTCGATGATTTCGATCGGAATTTCGCCAAAACCGACCGGTTTTCGAGAACTTATTGGCAAACTCAGTGAATTTGTATTCAAATTTTGGTTTATGAATTTTGTTCGGAATTTACCGGTTTTCTACCGGATTTCGTGAAATTCTGAATTCCGCCAGTATCCGAAACGGAAGAGCCTGTCGGAATCGTAAAGACAACAATCCATGGGGAAAAGCGGCACTGTGCACAAGAGATTGTACTGCCTATTTGCAGCTCCAGTTGCAAAAAAAGACGAATGCAACCTGCAGGCATCTTCCTGGATGAGATCACAGAATCGAATGCCCATGTGACCCAGGAATATTGTTGCTCCCACATCCTGCAATATGCAGATTTACACACGAGCTACAGTAGCATACTAGCATCAACTCATCCTGATGCATATGCGGCCTATCTTTTCGCTTATAATTATCAGCCAAAATTTAAATTTCCAACCTTACACTTAAAGTTGATTTTGAGGTTTTTTTTCATCGAAGTTTATTTTTCAGCTTTTACTTTTAGATCACTAAGAATACATATATAAAAAAATATTCACATATTATTATTCATTTGCAAATATACCATGAAACGATGGGGCCAAATGATCTGTAATTCTGTATTAATAATATCCCAGCTGAAAATTCTCCTTTAAAAGTTCCAATTTTCAGTACTCGCCAATTATTTCCCCCAGTTTTCAAACGCTTTTGCATTAAAAACAACAAACAATTCGTGCGAATTACGCAAAAACGAGGGGACGAGATTAGAAGTCTCTTTGTACTTATTTTTCAACTATGGACAGCGCGCATGCGAAGTCGTTGAGCTGATTCTGTGCGCGTGGGTACCAAATGGACCACGGAAACACGATTGGTACTAGCATTTAAAGTTTGTGTTTATCATATTTTATCACCTCCGGTTGGATAAATTCGCGCTAAAATAAACTTTTTTGACCAAGTTTGCCGAGTACTACATACAGGGAATCAGCAATTAATTACTTTTCAGAAAAAGATTCAGCAATTAATGGGCCCAAGATTCAGAAATCAAACGTGGAAAGGAGAGATTCACCGCACCCGTGTAGGGAAAGCTGTGGCCGCCGTACGACTGCGCGTCGGTGTGCTGGCCTTCCATCGATCCGTGGCGCCTTTTGTTCCGTGCCCTCACGTGCGTTTCCAGCTTGTGATTTCTACGGTGCCTTGTGAGGGTTTTTACCTTTCTGGTTCGTTTGGTACGATTTTAACTTTTAAATTTAACTTAAGAAATTAAATTTAAAGTAAAGTTCTGAAGCTGGCTAAACCCAATTCCACATCACAATTTATCTTGTAGAGCTGAAACCGTTTGATTGAGCTTCAACTTCAGGAAAGATAGAGATAGAGCTGTATCAAACGGGTTCTTATTGAATGTAAGACATCGACCCTTAATAATATGATAGTTTTCAATGAATTCTAATCAATTGTATTGTTTTAAATTCAAATTCTTAAAAACTGTTCAAATTTTCCTCGCAATATGCTTTCCTCCCACGTAGAAACCTCAAGTTTTTCCTTTTTTAAATAAAATAAAATTAAAAAAATGTGAACCTTGCTTGTCACCTGGTAATTGTACTAGATTGTGTCCAATCATATCTTGGGTTACTCTATTTTATAATGGAGAGAGTGCTATTCTATTCATCACATACAAGGTGCACATATACAATTTTGAAAATACTACTTGTAACACACGCTCTAAGGAACGGAGGCGGATAATAATCATTTTCTCAGTAAATTCACATACACAAAGATGTCTCATAGGCATCATGACTTGAGTATGGTAGATGGTGTCATGATCTCACGCCGTGTCTATCACCTTTGCATTTTGGTTAGCATTCTCTCAAAATATTATCTCAAGACAGTTACCAATGTTTTGATAGAAAAAAGACGATTACTACGTTAAAGACCTCTCTAATTAGAGCATCCGTGTTACTCCTATTTTCCCCATGTGACAGAAGATCCGGGGCCCATGACGATACTACGAATCTACGACCCCATTGGCACGACAAAGAACAGGGAGTGGGGTCTTTTTGGTAGGATGATTGAATCCAACAAAATTTTTCTATTCAATTCTTTTCGTTTTTGGACCTCTCCAAAGCATCGGTGAAGTTTAACAATTTTTTTCCTTTTACCTCTATGCTTGGAACTCATAATAAATCACCCACTACTGCTGATAAAGCTGCCGCTCGGGATAAATAATTTTTCCCGCAACAAACATCATCAAGCTCACCCACCCACTGACATCTGGGACCCACACCTCCTGGCCCCACAAGTCAGCCAATACTGACCCACCCTCATGTGCAAAAAAATTACGTAACAGCAACGCACCTACCGCGGCTGATCAGACTAACCGAATATATTATCCCCGGAACTCGAAAAGCGGGATGTTGTTGCTAGGGTTCAACCGTATAATCGTACGTATACTGTACAGGTACAGATATACGCGAAGAATCATTTTCTTTTTCTGAAAAAAATACAGATATACTCGAGTATACTGTGCGTGCCAACTTGTTTCTTCCTTCCGGTCGTCGTCGCCATTATATTGCCGCCTTCCCCGATCTCCAAGCCCTCGCACCACCCTCCTTGTTACAGCTGTGCCGCCTCTTGCTTCCTCCTCCTCATCGTCCGCCATGGCTTCTCTCACCGATCTCGTCAACCTCAACCTCTCCGACACCACGGAGAAGATCATCGCCGAGTACATATGGTACTATGATATTATTGTTATCTTCTTCTTCCTTTCGGATCTCTTCTTGGCTCTTGGTTTTGATGGTTCTTTTCATGGCGACGAACGGGTTATTGTTTTCTTGGTTTTGATGGGTAGGGATATTTCGGGGGATTTCGGGAGGGGTGCTCCTCATAGTTTGTGCGGATTCGTAGAAGGTTTCGTTTCTTTTCGCTTTTCCACTCGATGACTGAAGCGGCGGCGGCGGCGGCGGTGGTGATCTTGTTGTTCTTCTCTTCCTCTCCTCTGCTTTCTCCTGTTCATGTCACCACCGAGTAAAAATCGTTCTTTTCCGTTTCTTTTTTTTTTCGCCGTGGATTACTGTTCAACCCCGGTTTTCTTGATACGCTTGACGAGAGATGGAGATTACGAGTACGAGCAGTACTCTCTTAGTTTTTGTCCTTTTGGGGGAGGATGATCTCTGAAGTGGCAGCCTCTGTCTGCCACCTGGTCCTCTCTGCGCCACCATTTGGCCACGGCGAGATGCTCTCTTGTTCGGTTGGTGCATGGATTTAAATCTCATCCCCTAATCACGCGTACTTTTGGTCAAAGATGCAAAGCTTTCGATCTTAACCACCTTCAGATCGCAAGATTACTGTTTTTTGGTGCTCATTAAGCCATGGTGATAACTGATAAGTGGTGTTTTTCTTTTTCTCCTTGTTTTTAATGCAGGATCGGTGGATCTGGCATGGATCTCAGGAGCAAGGCTAGGGTAAGATAAGATTCCCAGAACAAGGACCCCATGATCCTGTTTGTTACTACTCATATGTCTTATCACTTTTTCTGCCAAGTTATCCACTGGCTGAGCTGTTCTTGCGCTTATATTATCATCCAGAGCCTTGCTACTCCTAAACAGATTAGATTCTCTTTTTTTTTTATCAATCATATTAAATTTTGGTTGGTTGGTGGTGCAGACTCTCTCCGGCCCTGTGACTGATCCCAGCAAGCTGCCCAAGTGGAACTACGATGGCTCCAGCACCGGCCAGGCCCCCGGCGAGGACAGTGAGGTCATCCTGTAGTAAGTATCTTTTCATGGCAAATCAGAGTGAAAAAAATAAACTCTGTTTTTTTAATTATGTTTTTACTTTGGATGCAAGCAGTAATTTTTTGTTCTTCCATCTTGCAGCCCACAGGCTATCTTCAAGGACCCATTCAGGAAGGGAAACAACATCCTTGTAAGTGGTGACCACTTTTTCAGTTTGTCATGGATGTGATTTATATTCTGCAGTGTACATCCATCTCTGTTCATCCAGATCAGCACATGTCTATAAAAACTGTGTGCTGATTTATTCGGTTCAAACTACATATGGGATGTACTAGTAGATGCACCACTGAAGGGGGGAAAAACTTAATTTAATCACTTCAGGTGTAAAAGATGAACTATTTTTTGCACTGTTGAACATTAAATTTTCTTTTTTTACCTGTTTCTGATGTCATGGGATGTGATCTTGATTAGCGCTTTCACTGTATTTTTGACTCCTGCGATCATCTGTTCTACCTAACCTTATGGCTAGTTGAGGAATGAATCCAATGGGTTGTTTCGTCACCATCTCGAATAATTGGCACTTTATTTTCTAAATTATCGTAATTCACAGGTCATGTGCGATTGCTACACGCCAGCCGGAGAACCGATCCCCACCAACAAGAGGCACAATGCTGCCAAGATCTTCAGCTCCCCTGAGGTTGCTTCTGAGGAGCCCTGGTATGCCCACTAATCTTTTTTGCCGAATGATTATCGCAACGTGTCACAGCCATCTCAGCATAATTCCCTTTCTCATAATGGTTAGTTGATCTTCTTTGTTCTTGCAAATTATAGGTACGGTATTGAGCAAGAGTACACCCTCCTCCAGAAGGACATCAACTGGCCCCTTGGCTGGCCTGTTGGTGGCTTCCCTGGTCCTCAGGTACAATCATTTGTCTGTTTGATTGTGGCTTAATTACTAAACTGATATGGTCAAACCAATCTTCAAGTGTGACCTAACTAATACTGATCTTACTCTTTTTGTGTGTGCGTATTCAGGGTCCTTACTACTGTGGTATCGGTGCTGACAAGTCTTTTGGGCGTGATATTGTTGACTCCCACTACAAGGCTTGCCTCTATGCCGGCATCAACATCAGTGGAATCAACGGCGAGGTCATGCCAGGACAGGTGAACACTACTCTCAAACCTTGCCATTTCTATCGTCTTGAATTAGTGGAGTACATTTCTGACCATGCTAATATCGTGATCAGATCTATAATTGGTAATGTTATTAACATTGTGATCGGTTTTTCAGTGGGAGTTCCAAGTTGGCCCGTCTGTCGGCATTTCTGCCGGTGATCAGGTGTGGGTTGCTCGCTACATTCTTGAGGTATGGATAATGACATTCTTCTATCAATATCTCAAATTGTGATTCAGAACGGTCTGATCGAATGCCACTGCCCCTAATTTTTTTCAGAGGATCACCGAGATCGCCGGAGTCGTCGTCTCATTTGACCCCAAGCCCATCCCGGGAGACTGGAACGGTGCTGGTGCTCACACCAACTACAGGTGAGGGATGCTTGAACATGAACAGATTGATATGGTTTGTGTTACTCTTTCATATTATACTACTCTGCTGATCACGATCACGTCGGCTTTCAGCACCAAGTCGATGAGGAACGATGGTGGCTACGAGATCATCAAGTCCGCCATTGAGAAGCTCAAGCTCAGGCACAAGGAGCACATCTCCGCCTACGGCGAGGGCAACGAGCGCCGGCTCACCGGCAGGCACGAGACCGCCGACATCAACACCTTCAGCTGGGTACGCGCCTCCGTCTTCTTCTTCCTCCTCCTCTGAAACACCTGAAATTCATGTCAAATTACAAGTCCCGATCATGAAAAACACCTGAAATTCATGTCAAATTACAAGTCCTGTTCATGAAAAACAGCTGAATTTCATGTCGAAATAAGTCCTGATCATGAAAACACAAACAAATTTTTGCAGGGAGTTGCCAACCGCGGCGCCTCGGTCCGCGTCGGCCGGGAGACGGAGCAGAACGGCAAGGGCTACTTCGAGGATCGCCGGCCGGCGTCCAACATGGACCCTTACATCGTCACCTCCATGATCGCCGAGACCACCATCATCTGGAAGCCCTGAAGCGGCTTCTTGACGCCACGACATCCTCGTCATCGTCCTCCCCAGCTCGCCGTGTCGCTCCGGTTGCTCCATTGATCGGACGATCTGGTGAATTGCATTTGTGCTGGGAGAAGTAAAAAAAAAAGGAAAGAGAAAAAAAAGAAAATCACGCCAAAAAAAATTCTCATTCCATTTCGATTTGGTTGCATGCTACCACTACTACTACATTGCTCATCTGCCATTTAGATTAGCTCCTTTTTCTTCGTCTTTTGGGTGAGTGCGTTTGGGTGCTCTTGTGTAATCCTCCAATAATGGCCGTACCTACGGTACTTGTCCCATCCTGTGGATCATCGTCCTCCTTTCCACATGTGGTTTTATCATCATTGTTATTAGTGATCACCTTTATATAAAGTTCTTGCTGGGCTTCCAATAGCCGTGGCTTTTGCGTTACTACTCCCTCCGTTTTTTTAATAGATGACGCCGTTGACTTTTTCTTATATGTTTGACCATTCGTCTTATTAAAAAAATTACGTAATTATAATTTATTTTGTTATGAGTTGTTTTATCACTTATAGTACATTAAGTGTGATTTATATCTTATATATTTGTATAAAATTTTTGAATAAGACGAATTATTAAACATGTGAGAAAAAGCTCAACGGCGTCATCTATTAAAAAACGGAGGTAGTACTACACTTTTTGCTGCTGGTGCGAGACAACATTTTAGATGGATGAGAATTTTTAACAGAAACACTACTTTTGCTCAATGGTTGCAAAGCTATTAGGATTTTTTTTCTCTTCTGTTTTTGAAACGAACAAGTGATCGTGATGACTAAAATGTCCAACGAACGAGAGAGAGTCACGGAACAGATTCCACAGAATGCTTGTCCTTTAGCGGAGGGAATCAATCGGAGATTGCGATGAGCGGTTGAGCGCGATTACGCGACTGTTTAGCCACCTATCACTCCATCGCCATTCATTTGTATCGCTAGCCATTGATGTAGTGTCAATAGTGACAGTCTGACACTGACCACCCTTCTTCTTACATAAGTACTCCCTCTGTCTTAAAAAAAAAACTACTCCCTCCCTCTAAAAAAATGAATTTCAATATAACTTGTTTTGTGAGAGTAGGTCCATAAATGAGATCATTAGTAGTATTATTATTGTATAATATAATATATTATGTGCAACAGCCAACAGTGCAATTTTGCCATATAATTTCAATGCTTTCAACAATCCAACTACTCCTGGGGATGCCATTGTTATGGCCTTCTTTTGTTGACGTTGATTCACAATGTTGACCTGCAGCTAGCTTTCAGCTTCAGCATCTCCACCAACTCCTGCAGCTCTGTTATGCAGATCACTTATGTAATCATCGCTTCATCACTTCATCAGTTCACATGAAAATTCTTAAGCTTAGCTGGTCAACCTTTTAGTGTCTTGGTCTCACACGGCTAAGCTCGCATGGTTAAGCCGTCACCTAAGCTTATCAGGTACTAACACGCTTCCCTGAACTTCATTGCTTCCAACGCTGAAACTGGATCATCAAGTAAAAAACACACAGCATGGATGTGACATTGTGACCCAAGCAGCAACCTGAAGGGCACTAGCCTTTAATAGCCGAAAGGGCTGATTAATCCAGGTCCAACCCTGCAGCATCAAGATCACAATAGATCTGTACGAAAGCAACAAATCAGCAAGTGACACTTCGTGCTGCGAAAAGCTAAATGGCACCTTGGTATTAGTAGTGGCACTATCTTGTATAATGCTAGGAGCTTAATTAGCTCCCAGGTTATGATAAACTACTCTGGTTTCGAGGGAGGCGTCTTCGTATTCGATACAAGAACAGCAATTTGCAAGCTCCATGGGAGACACCAACGGAAGAGACAGAAATGGGGAGTAGGATAACAAGATAGAGAAAGCCTTGGATTGATCAAGACGACACCAAAATGCCGATCAATCCAACACAATATTCGGTTGCTGCTGATGAAAGCAAGACGTGTTGGCGTGTCTGATATGAGCTGGTACTACGACAGAAAGATGAGCGGTGGATGGGTGCATACCACTCGTCATGTCAGGACTCACGACAGGTGCCGCTGCAATTTGGACTCCTGACCAGATCATGGTACTACTACCACACATGAAATTATTGATCGGTTGCATAGTACTTTACATATGGAATTATTGATAGGCTGTCGTTTATGGATTGAATGAACAGCACAAGCACATCAAAGGTTCCAGTTTCTGAAGTCTAACCAGCCATGATGCAATTATCCACGATTTGGTAGACTAGATTGGTAATAACAAGAGCTACTGGACTGATCACCAACATCGACGAACCGAAGGGCAATGGGGGCAAAAAAAAGTGCTGTAAATCAACAATTATTGACACAAAAAAAAATGTAGTACTAGTATTTACTCTTTCCTAGTCACAGATGACGCAGCTGACTTCCTGCTTCGGTAACGAGGGTACACATTTACCCTCAGAATTCAGAACTGGCGATACCAAGCACTCAGACGCAGAAAGAAACAACCAAAAAATTATAGGATGACGCTGTGCAGCTGGTAAGAGCGTGTTCTTTTGTTAGGGCACTAGTAAGAAACCAGCTCGAGAGTTTTGAGATCTGAATCTGAAGCCATAGAACCTACAGGAAACCTTCAGTGCCTTGGCCAGAGCTAACTTCTCTGTATAATCTCAGTGCTTCATCCATGACCTTGGCTTGCCTCAAAAGCTGTGCTCTTTTCTTACTCGAAGGATGAGTGGAGAGGTAATTACTCAACGTTGAATCTCCTGCGATCTTTCCTAGTTTCTCGTAGACTGAGGGAGCTACGCGTGGATCGTAACCAGCAGCACCAAGTACCAGCAGCCCAATATGATCTGCCTCTATCTCCATCCTGCATAGGTAACAACATCGAATGAGATCCAGACAAACAATAACAACGCTGACAACTGCATGACGCACAAGTAAATTCAGGCAAGATCCTTATTGAGAGATTATGTTGAATTTCATCAATCATCATATCAAAGACAGTCATGATTCACCACTGACTTCCAATTATGCACAAAAACAATGACAAGATCAAACAACCATAATTGTTCCGGATACACAATTATGGCCAAAAACTGTTTAAAACAATCAATAAAGGGCATGAATCTAACAACAGAAGATGAACAAATATGAAATATCCATTGCTAATAGACGAATGGTGTACATGTCGTGCTATTGTGAGATTGCCATGCTCCGTGGCTTCTTGGTAACGTCTGGGAACAGCTTTGTTCGGCTGGCTAGGCCATGACCCCCACCGTTTCCTCTATTCAGCATCAGACAATGCCAAAATTTAAATTTTAAAACTCAATTTTGAAGTTTTTTCATCGAAGTTTATTTTGCAGCATTGACGTTTAAGTCGCTAAGAACATATATATAAAAGCTTAACCTACAAATTATTAATATTTTGCTAATACGCCATATGGCGTATATCCATATTTGACCAAACGATGGGGGCTCATGTCAAAAAGCAACTATTGAGAATTTGGGGAGAGGGTAAACTGATGTGTGATGGGATAATGTACTGCTCAACTGAAGCAACACTCGTCCCATTTTAATATGGTTCAGAGCGTTGCGCCCCCCTCAACAAGCCCCCACCCCACCTCCCAAAAAAATAATTTCAAATGATTCTGGCATATCCAATGCTTTCAATTTTTAAACATGTAACAGATGAAATAAACAGGGAAGGTATGAATTCCAAAACAGCTCATCGCAAAGCAAAAGGTTCTATGCAGCCAAAGGTAGGCAACAGCTGTTTCGACAAATTTTACATAAATGTGAAGGGCAATCATTGGTTTCAAATTTTACTCCTGCAAAACCACTCAATTATCCTTTTTTGTATATATTAATCCACCTCATTGAACATTATAACTGACTGATGCTTCGAACTGGAGTAAAATGGACTTGACATAGTGACTGACATTACCCTAATTCAACAGCGTAAACATGCCTTTTATTATTAAAACCACTGTCTCAACTATAGATTGGCTCATCTTCTCAATAATCGATAAATGAAAATTCAAGGTGTAGTACACTGTAAACAATAATTTCTTTCCATAGGAGTTATAATAGTTGCACAGTTACATGTAGCAACTTATGGTATTATGGAGTAGGTGTCATACAATCCACGCTATGTGCTATTTGAATCTTATCTAATTCTAAAACAAAAGAAGCAGCTACACATGACATTGTAACCTACCATTCCAAAAAGTAGTGTGGAAACAAAAGAATTTGATGTCTTTTGTGAAGTCTTGCTTGGGACAAGGACTGAATAAAAACATTTTTCTACTTCAACTTTCATGCGGAAGGAGTTCTTTTAGTTTAAATATAAGATTTCTGTTAGTTTCAAGACAACTTACTGTTAGCACGTAAACCCTGAATTGCAGGAATATACATCTTCAAATTATGAGCCTAATCAAGTAGCAGTTGATACTAGTCTATCTAGCTGAATCAACACAATTACAGTTTTGATAATGATGATTCAAACCTATTTGAGGTCTAGCAGAGGATATAAGTACTATCTTTGACCTAGATGAGAGCTCATTGACCAGACCTCTAGTTTAATGTGACTTAGGGAGTCGGAGCTTGAACCCAAATGCTTGTAAGCTTATAACAATGCTTCTTATCTCATTCCCATGAAATGCAACTTACCACATGCAGACTGTAAACCACCACGAAAGACATCAAAAGGAAGAAGTGAATACCTCCGTGAGAAGGGAAGCTTCAGGAGTAGCGTCGACATTGCATTAATCATGTCTGGCATGTAAATGAACTGCATGATCACAATCTGCAGGATCCAAAACCACAAGTTCTTCGTAATCATCTCAGCAGCGTGCCTTGCAATAGCATGCCCAACCTACAACAAAAGGCACAACTGTCAGTTCCAAATCTCCAATCCACCGCAACTAACCAAAATCACACATGAACCCGGAAATCCCAAGTCCACCTCGTGCCCAAGCACAGTAGCAATCTCAGCATCAGTCTTGAAATGGTTGAGCAGTCCAGTAAAGACTACAATCTTGCCACCGGGCAAGCACATTGCATTGATGAGGTCATCTCTGACAACGATCACCTCCCAATTGAGCCCATCAAGATGCCTCGTCTCCGGCTGTGCTCCCCGTGCCTTCCCACGGTCGCGGCTCTCGGTGACCCATCTGTCATCCAGAACCTCCTCGTCTCGCTGGGCCGCGGCAGCCACGCTCGCGTTCTTGTTGCCACGGGACCGGCCGAGCATCACGTCTTCCGCGCCGGCCTCGTGGTTCTTGATGACGACGTCGGTGGAGATGTCGCCGTAGGAGGCGTCATCCGCGGCGAAGGCGTCGTGGTGCCTTCCAGCGAGGCCGCGGTGGACGGCGCGGACGACCTCCGAGGCGATGAGGCGAACGCGGATGCTGTCGGGGTGTAGCGGGGGGAGGATCTTGGGGCCCAGCTCCTTCTTGAGATTGTTGAACTGGGACTCCCCGAGCTGGCGCTCGAGCGGGGGCGAGAGGAGGATGAGGTGGGTGCGATTGGTGTAAGGCACGGTCTCGAGGTTGCCGAAGTAGACGGCCGCCGCGGCGCCGCCCGAGACGACGACCACCGTGGTGAGCTTCCGCGGGTCGTGGTACCACCGGGACCCGCGCCGGCGGTTGAAGTGGACTACCTTCTGCCGCTGCGGGGAGGTGTAGAAGTACCGAGACGGCGGCGCCTGCGCAGGCCGCGGCGGCGGCGGCGGGCTTCGGAGGAGCACTCGGCCGAAGCGGACGGCCTCCGGGCGACTCGGGGAGGTGAAGTAGTACCCAGCGGGAGGCGCCTGCGGCAACGGCGGCGACGGTGGCAGCCGCGGGCAGCCGGTGGGCTTGTGGCGGAGGAGCCTGGAGAGGACGGAGCGCGAGTTCTTCAAGTAATTCATGTTCTTGTTCTATTTTTGCCCCGTATTTTGGGGATTTTTCGGGGGCGGCGTTTGATCGCTGCGGGGAATGGGTGAGGGGGTTTCAAGAGGTTTGCCAGGTGGCATATGGCGGTGAGTCGCTGGGCCCGGGAGAAACTTCTAGGCGCGCCGCCCAAGTCGCTCATTTCGGGCCGACCGCTCATGGGCCCAACAATGCAATTTCCGGCCCAATTTGGGGTAGCGCTCAATCCAGTCATACGAATTGTTGCACCTCTATTAATTACTTAAGCTCGAGCTAGCTCGTAATCTCTAACGAGCTTTGAAGCCAGTTTGGCTCGTTAGGAAATTCAAACGAGTCGAGCTAAGTTGAGCCTAGCTTGTCATGAACCGAGCGAGCTAACGAGCCACGAGCTTCCTGTCCATTCCTAAGCCTACCTCATGGCTGAGCACCGTGGCTGCTAGATCGGCGTCCTTCCGGCAGAATCTCCTGAGGTACCAACCGAATACCACGATCAGTGTTGATCACACGCACCCTCCAGTTGAGGCCGCGGACGGCACTATACATGCTCGGTCCTCTCCGACAGCCGATCCGCTGCTCGAAAACCTCGTCCTCGCACGCCGCCGCGATGATGTGGGCGGCCACACGCCGCACCCGGACTCGTGTCGGGGTGGCCGTCCGGGAGGGCACGGGTTAGGAGCCTAGGAGCACCTCGTCGCACAATGTCAAGCTCGGCCTACTCGCGGAGACTTTGCTGATCTCCTTGCGCAACCAGACGACCGCGCGGAGCCGATCGACACGACTGCCGCCGCGGCCGCAACGCGTGGAAGGAGACGACAAGCCAAGCACCTAGGGCTGCAGTGCTCGTGTTGTTGTGACTCAAAAAACACACGGAGAAAAAGCGGAACAAAGCGGACTCAAAACACACGGATACGACAAGCCAAGCACCTGGGCCCCGCTCGCTCGCTCACATCGTGCTTTGCTCCTCCGCCCATCGTGCTCGCTCGCTCGACGACGACGGCGCGCTCAAGCGACGGCCGCGGCGGATCTGGTGGTGGGGAGGGCGGCGGCGGCAATGGCAAATCCGGCGGTGGCGGCAACGAATCCGAAGGCGGGCTCGGGCGACGGCAGCGAATCCGGCGGTGGTGGCGGCGAATCCGAAGGAGGGGAGGGCGGGGATGGCTCGGTGGCAGCGGCGGAGAATCCGGATGCGGGCTCGGGCGACGGCGGCGAATCCGGCGGTGGCGGCGGCGAATCCGAAGGCGGGGAGGGCGGGGATGGCTTGGTGGCGGTGGCGGCGGCAAATCCCCGGCGGTGGCGGCGGTGAATCCGAAGGCGGGGAGGGCGGGGATGGCTCAGTGGCAGCGGCAAATCCACATCGCCGTTGTCTCTGACGTCGGCGCTACTCCTCCTTCCGCCCGCGCCACTGGTCACCGCTCCTCCTTCCACCCACACCGCCGGTCGCCGTGCCGCTCCGCTCCTTCTGCCGTGGTGCTAACGTTACTCCAAACGACATTCATCCCATCCCTACCCATCCCTTCTACCAAATAAAAAAACTAGATTATTCCATCCAATAAACCAAACAAGTAAATAAATGGAATCAATCCATCTCTAAAATCAGGATGGTATCATCCTATCCCACGTAGTCTCCTAACCAAAACACTACCAGGCTAGCGATCGAGCCTCTGTCGGGCCGGTCTCGGCATCCTGTTTGGAACTTTTGATTCGAACACGTTCTGCGGTGCTTTGTCCATCTTTCCGATGTTTTGGTTCCTTCACAAATTTGCAAGTGCACGGTCTGTGATTAATTACTGACCTTAAAAATAGAGGCTACGTTACATGATCTGACAGAATCTGCTGGCACTTGCTCTTCCAGTCCTACACAACTACAAGAGAACAAAACATACATGCTTGAGAGCCTAAGATTATGGTTGACATTTCATAAAGCTATGTTCGGCATAGAGGGTTAGCGACTAACGGCCTTATTTTTCCAGTTATGTTTATAATTATCAGTTAAAATTTAAATTTTTAACATTAAATTTGAAGTTGATTTTGGGGGTCTTTTCACTGTTTATTTATTAGCCTATGCTTTTAGATCATTAATAACACGTGCATAAAAATTTTATTCAAAAATAATTTTTCGTTAGATAAGTATTAGCTTTAAAAAATTTTTGAAAAATAGATTAATATGATTTTTTTTAAAAACAACTTTTGCATAAAATTTTTTCGACAAAAACACTCAGTTCGTTAAGCGTGTACAAAAAAAAAAAACTATAGGTGGAAGTTAGGAAAGTGGAGCGCCGAACACACTCTAAATGATCAATAGCTCACGGCGATCAGAGATGTACGAAAACATAATCAGCATAGCCCGTACCGATAAAAAATTGTATATGTACAATAATATCAGGGAACAATATCCCTAGTGGTTTGGTTGAGTGCTCGCCTTGATGACCAGCTATGTCAGAGGACGACCTCCTCGAGCGGAGGACCGTGAGGCCCCTCCTTTGTTAGTTCGGCCGAGGGCAGCGAGTGAAAATTGAGGAACTAGGAGGATTGGGAGAGATCGAGGGCCGGGAGTCGGGCCCCCGATGAAGATGAGACACTAGGGAGTTATCCAGGTTCGGGCCGCTAAAAAGCGTAATACCCTACTCCTGTGTATGATGATTTTTCTGAGTTTACAAAGTCTCTGAATTTCTGGTGTACAAGCTAGGGCTAAGCGTTCCACCTCTTTTTTCTTCTATCCCCCTCTTCACTGGACATGGACCTCCTTTTATACTCCAAGGGGTTCCCACATGCACCGGGTGTGCTTCCCAGTGAAGAGGGAAAATATTCTCTATATTAAATGTTTGTCTCGTGCCACAATCTGGAAGTCATCTGAGCATCGGCTGCTGTGCAGGGCCCATCAAATCATGTCGGCTGACGTAGGCCGACACAGGGAGGATCCCCGTCATTCACCATTTAATAGATGTAGACTTCCGGCGCGCACGCACTGGAACACGATCCCCAGTGTGTCCAAAGCGGTCAAGCCAACTTCGGATGGTTGAGAGGCGTTGTGCCTCTTATCATCGCGACGAGACAGGGCATACCTGCCGCACGCCGCCTAACACCAGGCTAACGCGCACGTGGCTTCCCGCTGTCCTGTCTGTCATTCGACCGGCCACGCACCGGTCACAATTTGGTCAAGCGCGCAGCACGCCGCATTCAATGTGGCGTGGTGCGCTTGCTCTGCCCGCACTAAAAGCGGTTAGGTGGGCGTAGAGGGGCGTCCACCTAACCTCACTTGCATGACGGCCACGTGGTGACCGTCCCGATGGGTCGGGGCAGCCCAGGGTCGGGCTAGGGAGGGGTGGCTACCACCTATCCACGGGCCCGACCCCTCGGGGGAAAACGCCACGTGGACATTGGGGGGGGGGGGGGGTAATCTTCTAAAGTTGGCTCTTCTGCTAACTTTTTGATTGGGTCCACATGGCACCCCTCCCTTTGACGAAAAAAAATCATGAATTCATACTAGAGAAAATAATCTGAGAATCACCGGTGAGAAAAAAAATAAATTCATCAAATATACTATGCCTACTCCAAAACTATCTTCCCCTTACAAATCACACAAACTTCCATTCATTTGCCTTCTTCAAATATACTATGCCTACTCCATAGTAGGCCTAAAAATCTTGTGGAACAAAAGGAAATAAAAAGAGGTCTTGCAGATGCAAAGAGGAAACTTGATTGTGGATTTTATGTTACAGATTGCGTTGCAAAAAAAAAGAACTCTTAATATACTAAATGTTTGCTCTTTCAAATATTCAAACCTACAAGTGTACATGTTGGAACCAATTAATTTAATTGAATCTTAAATTTGACTTGCATATATTTTCTCAAAATTGACGTTTACTATAAACATGGCATTAAATTCTATCCTTTTGCTTAACATTGCATACGAGTTTATATTTATTTATGATAAAAATATTTTTATTTCTATGCATAATAAATAAATTATTTATACATACATATTTTTTTCAATACCATATGTACCAATTTGTCAAAACCAAAATAACGGTTCACAATTTCATTTATAAAATATTTGATGAAAAATATCAAAATTCCAAAAAAGAAACTGAAGTATATATATGTTTCAAATTAGTAAGCGCACCCCTAGCGTGTTTATTTTACAAAAGATAAAAAATAAAATTGTCGCCCATTTTAATCATGTAGTATCTGTTAGGTGATAGAATCATCTTGGATTTTTGGTTCTAATTATACTTTTACACCCAAAAGGCATACCAGCATTCTGGTTGCCTAAGATAAAAAAAAGTTCACTATAATATTATTACATGCTACACTAAAAATTAGAATATCACTAAGAGGCCTTATAAAAAATAGAGTGTATATTTTTAAAGGTATTAATGTGTGACTTTTACAACAAGGCTAACAAGCGGGTCAAGGGCACGCTGATTTTTAGTCTATGTTAAGGAGGAATAAATGTACAAATAATTCACTGGTCCTGCAGTTGAACCGGTCGGTTCAACGGTTCAACCAACTAATAACCCGTGAAAAACCAAGAGGTCCAGTGTCTAATATTTTCTACTATGTTCATGATTGCGATGTTGGCCTTGGGTGAAGCCTAGTTATTTACATCTTCATCATCACGTTTAAAATTTTGTTTCATCCGAGGATGTTTTATTTTTTACCTATTTTAAGTGTAAGGCGCGTGGTCTAAAAACAGAGAAAAAAAGGGAAAGTCAATAATTCGCCTTATGTTGTAAGCACAAACTCACTAAATATGAAAACATAGATCAATATGTGATAAACATGCAAATTTTAAATTTTTAACATTGAAATAATAAACATCCATATGCCATGAGATAACCATTCATGATGTCGGCTATCGCATTAGTAATTTCTCGTTAAAGACTCTCTTAGAAAAGAAAAAGAAATATCTTTGAAGGGAGCTTAAGCCTTAAAGGCTATGCATGCACATGTCGTTGTACGGCTTCACGGAACACCTCCAATGCCTCCCCCATCACTTTCTCCTGCCTAACTTCCGCCGCGCGCCTCTGCAACGGTGGATGTGTAGTACCCTCCCCATTTCCAAACTTCATGAGTGCCTCCCAGAAGTTCGGGTTTGCACGTGGGTCATATCCTGCCGCAGCCTGCAGCATGAGGCCGATGCGGTCTGCCTCTAGTTCCGTTCTACGATGATCACAAGGCAAAACACAGTAGGCGTTAGGCTTATTGAGTAATCTGTGTTATACATATGTACATGCATATACGAGGTGTCACCTGTGGAGGAAATTCCGCATAAAAAGGGACACCCACTCAGCGTGCGGGATCCTATCGACCGGAACATAGAGGAGCTCCTCAACAAAGTTGGCAAGGACGGAGACCCAAAATTTGTTCCGCTTCCTCTCCACACGGTGCCTTGCGATGACATGCCCGACCTGCCAAGAAAGTTTAATGTATGTAATCATCTACCCCTGTGTTTCATATTATAAATCTTTTAACTTTTTTCTAGTCAAACTTTGTTATGTTTGATCAAATTTATAGAAAAATTTAGCAATATATAAAATATTAAATTAGTTTAACTAAATCTAACATTGAATATATTTTCATAATATGTTTGTTTTGTGTTAAAAAATACTGCTATATTTTTCTGTAAACTAAAGTTTAACTTAGAAAAAAGTCAAACAACTTACAATATGAAACGGAAGGAGTACTGGAGATTCCTTCGCCCATATAAAAACAATGTATACACACTAATCTTGTGTAATAGTACTACATCTATAACTAAAGGAAAAAGTACGAATTACCCCTCCCCCGAACTATCGCGGTCGGCCGAATTACCCCCTGAACCATAAAACCGGACATTCTTGACTCCAAACTATACAAACCGGACAAATTACCCCCCTCGACCTAATCCGCGGTGGTTTTGGTTTACGTGACGTACGCGTGGCAGTCCAGTTAGCATTCTATTTATAAAAAGATGTGGGACCCACCTGCCATACTCTTTCTCTCTCTTCTCTCTCTCACTCTTTCTCTCTCTCTCACGGACGGCGGCGCGAGCGGCAGCGGCGAGCACGGCTGGTGGAGGGCAGCGGCGGACGGGCAAATGACGCGCGGGGTTGGACGGTGATCTCATGGGGGCAGTGCCGTGACGTCTCACTTGGGGGAGGTCGCAACGGCGGTGGGCGGCGTGCTCGTAGTACCCAATCCTCCTCTCCCACCGCCGCCCCTTCTCCTCCTCGCCGGAGGAGCTGGCCTCGGATCCCTCCTCCTCATCCTCGTCGTCGTCGGTGTCGTCGGAGTCGGAGTCATGCTGCTGCTGCCGCTCACCGCCAGGAGGCGCTCGATGTGATACTGCGCATCCGCATCCCGCGCGCAGCCGCCGCCGCCTCCGCGTCCCCGCCTCTGAGTCCCGCGCGCAGTCGTTGCCGCCTCCACGTCCCGCGCGTAGCCGCCGTCGCCGCTGCGTCCTGCGCGCAGCCGTCGCCGCCGCCGCCTCCGAGTCCCGCGCGCAGCCGCCGCCGCCTCCGAGTCCCGTGCGCAGCCGGCACCGCCTCCCAGTCCCGCGCGCAGCCACCTCCGCCTCCGCATCCCGCGCCGCCGCGGCCTCCGCATCCCGCCCGCCGCCGCCTTCGCATCCCAGGTGCCGTGCTCACCGAGAGAGAGGGAGAGAGAGAGAGAGGGGAAGAGGAGAGAGACTCACCGAGAGGGAGGGAGAGAGAGAGAGAGTGAGAGAGGTGAAGAGGAGAGAGAGATAGCATATTGGCAGGTGGGCCCCACCATGTTTTTTTAAAAGAAAATATTGACTGGGCTGCCATGTGTGCGTCACGTAGGATAAAACCGCTTTAGATTACGTTGAGGGGGGGTAATTCGTCCGATATTAAAAGTTCGGGGTGAGTCATATCTGGTTTTCGGGTTTAGGGGGGAATTCGGCCGACCGCGATAGTTCGGTGGGGGTAATTCGTACTTTTTCCATAACTAAATAAAGCAACTTTTAACATGTATATGAAGGGAACATATTCTATGCAAACAAGCTTTCCGTGCACACTAATTAGCAAATGTCACGAAAAATTCTATAAAAGATTGTACACTTACTTCAAATAGTATTGCACCTACATGTGAAATTTTATCTTCAAATTCATTATATTTTAGCCATAATAAAAAAGACAAAATTCTGACAGATTTTTGCCCTTAAAATTATCAGATTTTTCACTTTTTTTATTACGGTAAAATATAGTGAATTTGAAGTGAGACTTTCTAGATATGTGTAATATGAATAGGAGTAAATGATTTTTTTAGAATTTTTCGTGACATTTGCTAGTTGGTGTACACAGAGTATGCACGAGAAGTTTGTGTGCATAGAATATGTTCCCGTACATGGACAAATATATGTTTAGATGAAAGTTAAAAGTTGCTACATTCTTAAACGACCGAATGCGGGGGGGGGGGGGGGGGGGCGTATTTGCCAACAACATACCTCGTGGCCGAGCGTCGTGGCTAAATCGTCGTCCTTCTAACAGTACGCGTTGAGGAACCCAGTGAAGACCAAGATCTCACCGCTCTCCAAACAACCCGTAAGGCTCTTGTCGTCGTTGATGACGTGCACCCTCCAGTTGATGCCGGGGACGAAGCGGTGCCCGATCCTCTCCGACAGCCTCCGCTGCCCGAACACCGCATCCTCCAGCGTCGTCGAAACGATGTTGGCGGCCACCCGGCGCACCCGAACCGTGTCGGGGTGGCTTTCCGGGAGGGCCGATCGAGCTAGGAACGCCTCGCTGCAGTATGTCAAGCTCGGATTGGGTCTCGGGGAGGCGTTGGTTTGATGGCCGAATAACCAGACGGCCGCAGAGGCGACGACGGACGCGGCCGCCGCCGTGCGTGGAAGCGGCCTCTTGTACCAGCGAGCGGCATGAGGAGGAGTGGTGGATCTCCCGAGAGCAGGATGGGGAGAAGGCGTCGATCTCCAGAGGAAACGGCATGCCAAGCACCTGACAGTGCTCATGTTTTGACGTGTTGCTCTCGGTGGCGAACCTAGAACAAAAATTACCGGGGATCCTTGATATGCTTATAGACTAATTTTTGAGTGATATAATGCTTAATATGACCCTAAAACACTTAGAAATAGATAAGCTACCCGGTATCCGAAGACACCGGGTAGATACACGTAGGTACGCCCCTGGTTGCTCTCACGTGTAGAAAAGCAGAACAAGCAAACAGCAAACTTTGTAGTTTTGCGGCTTTGTCGCGGAGGCCAAGCGGGCCTTGAAACAATGGCCTATAAAACAAGGGTTAACAATGGCCAGGCGGGGCACGGAGGCCAGCGAGCCTTTTCGAGTCGGTCTCGGCATCCTGTTTCGATCTTCTACGGTGCCACGTTTGTATGTTTGCAGTGTTAGGGCTTTCTTTACCAAAACCTAGTCATGTTTATGTTTTGGCACTACGAATAATTTGATATGATAGAATTCTTAGTAATGTGTTTAGGTTGATACTTAGTCATTTTAGCATTTCCCACATTTATATTGATGTTAATGAATATAGATAGATATATATATTTAGATTCATTAACATCAATATGAATGGAGAAATGTTAGAATGATTTACATTATGAAACAGAGGAAGTACCAATTAGAAACCAAATTTTATGTTACGATGAAGAAAATTCTAGAATTATACCAGATTAAGTATGGGAATTACCATCCATTTCGCTTCAAACCAAACCATCATATTTACTATTCAAACTATAAAAAAAATAGCACGGCACATTTTGGCATCAATCAAGTGGCCCTTAATCTCTTGTCGTAAAATTAAGGCCCCGTTCGTTCTAAAGATTTCCCTCGGTCTCCATTACCAAATATATTTCAACCTGTTTAAAACCGTGCAAAAACTTTCTTACATAAAAGGATAAATATCATCTTGAAGTTTAATTATGGCTTTTCTACCGTTTTCCTATTCGAACTAGGGCCTAAGTATACGATACATGAGCTGGTACTGACCTGAAACATGTACATTACACGATCCGACAGAAGAAGTCAGTTTGTTTCCACTCCGAACGAGATCTTCCAAGAAACCAGCATAAATCCATAATCTAGAAAGGATACCTTTCAAGGAACATGTCAATAGACTCCAATGAATGTTCCCAATAACAATGTACAGTAGATACTGGCTGGAGTACCACATAAAAATGTGCTTCAGTTAACAAGAACATCAAAGAACATGCATATAACCCTTTGCATAAAAGGGGAGCGTGCTCAAGTTGTTGAACTTCGATTAACTACTTCAAGTTGTGCTCAAGTTCATGCACTCGATAACACTTTCACAAACTTTGGTGTAAAGTATAACAGCTAATCCTAAAAAAAATAAGTTGCAAACAGCTTATTCGTTTGCATTGCATCTTTTACCAATGCTTGCACCAAACAAGTTGCAATTCCCTTGTTCACAAGCTTGATCCAACCCTACCCGCATCGACCTTCGTGATAAAACAGGTAAAAGCTATTATTCCCACTGATCCAAAAATAACCTAGTCTCACATTTGCAACAACCTTTTTCTGGAGAAATTGATGTATCATGTCCTTCATAGGATAAATCAAGAGCAAATATAACGAGGGATGTGCTCCAACTTACTTTGTAAATAGTGATAATCACCAGAGTGGAAGAGTTATAAAGGAAAAACAACATCATCACGGCTTTGGACTCTACCAAATGATTTACAGAGAGAATCACTACTAATAAGATGAATTTACCTGTAGCAGCTGGTTTTTATCAGTTTTGGCCCAGCCTACCATTTCATCGCCTACCGTGAACAAATGCAGTGAAAATTGCTCAAGTATGTGGCAAATTAGCAATTGCAATCAACTTGCGGCAAAGTGGAAGGGGCACTATGTGGTAATGGCACAATTTCCCCCTGAAGAATTTTCTCACAATCAGACAAACTTCTAATGTCTAACATCACAAAAACAATCGCCTCACTGATCAACATCTCAGAAGTACATGCCCTAACTCACTGAAAACCAGAAGTGGAGCTTTCCTCCAAGATATAGAGAGTTTGCATTGCATCATTTACCAATGTTTGCACCAAAACCCAACCCACATCGACCTTCGTGATAAAACAGGTAAAAACTATTATTCCCACTAATCCAAAAATAACCTAGAGTCTCACATTTGCAACTTTTTTTTTTGGAGAAATTGATGTATCATGTCCTTCGTAGCATAAAAGACCAGAATTTACTCAAACTAGATCTGAAGCAAATAATAGAACGCTCAAATCCGCATCACGATCTCAAGCATCCATATCCATACTACAAAAAAACACAGCAACACGCATCACATGATATATCTAAGAACACAAACGAGTAGGGAAGAAACAGCGAAGCCACCGGTCAGGTCAGTCGACGCGCTGAATCAGGGAGGGGTAGCAGGATCAGATCAGTCGTCCCGCTTCTTGAGCTTGTCGACGCGCTGCTGGAGCTGGTCGAGCCTGACGACGAGGGAGGTGATGGAGAAGAGGATCCAGTAGAGGAGCAGCGCGGCGGCGATGAGGAGCGCGTTGCGCTGCGACTTCATGATGGACTTCTGGTGGCGGAGGTGCTCGGACGGGGTGCAGTGGTGCTCGTCGTCGCAGGTGGGCCGCGTCTCGTACTTCCAGTAGATGTCCATCAGCAGGAAGAGGCAGAAGGGCACCACCGACATCATCGGCTTCAGCGCGCTCCGCACCACGGAGATCATCCCCCGCCGGAGCCCGTCCAGCCCCGGCAGCGTCAGCAGCAGCAGCATGATCGCCTCCGCTCCCGCCGCGTACCCAAGCACCACCCACTCCAGCGCCATCGCTGCCGAATCGGAGGCTCTCGGACTCGAGCTCGGGGAGGAGGAAGAGGAGGCGAGGGATTTTTTTGGGGGGGGGGGGGGGGGGGGATGGGGGATCGGATCGACGAGTCGAGGAGGGTTTCGCCTTTAGCGAGGAGAGGGCGGTGGATCGGAGGGCTCCTGGGTGGAATGGGTCCACGGGATGCGAGGGATGGAGAGAGGGGGAGGTTCTCGTGCGGTTCTCGTGGACGCGGTGCAGGCAAGTGCACCAGATTTAGCCGGACGACACGTTCGAGGAACCCGATGGCTGAGTCATGGCTGTACGGGAAGGGCCGGATGGGAACGCGTGTGGAGCCACGTGGACGACTCAGATGGAAGAAACGGGCGGTGGAGATCAAGCGAGTCATGGATATTCGAAGATGACGGCAGAAAGAAATCCAAAAGAGAAAAAAAGTGAGATGTTTTGCTTCGCTGTTAAGGCTGGAACTTGACACGACCGCACGTTCCGTTTTGTTGGATCCTTCTGGAACTCGACATCAGGTGGATGGAAGTGCAGTTGGGCCAGGCCAGTACGGGCTAAAACTGTCAATGGCCAAGTTGGGCCAGGCCGTGGGCCCGTTACCACTGTCTGAACTGCAGCACTGCACTGAAAGAGTGAAAGGAGCAAGTTCATTTGAATCTCTCAAATATAAGTTCAATCTGATTTGTATCTCTCAACTCTAATACTGAATATTTGATCTCCTAACCGTTAATGTAATTTGATTTTCAGAACACTATTTACAGCAATATTTGTTGACATGACTCATTGATCTGGTCGAACCGATTAACTCAACAGTTAGCATATAGGGCTCACATATCAGCGTCCCCACCTCTCTATCTCCCCCTTATCTCTGGTCCAAATGGCATGTCCAAGCTGAAAGCCTGAAACAGCTAGTGAACTAGCTTCCTTGAACAAGTATGGAGAACTATCTCCCGGCGAAAGTAAGGAGAAGAACTATCCTAACAAAGTTAAAGTGTATTGCTTGCAAACAAATTTTCTCCACTACCGATGCAGGGGTGGCATCGCCGGCTAGAAAGCTATGTGATCTAGCTGGATCTTCTCTCCACATGAAGCACAGTGGAGTGGAGTCCTTTCTCTAGCTTGTTCCATCCAGCCCTAGTGCTTGGTGTTCATTCCTTTGACCCATTGCATACCAAAAGAGAAGGCATGTATGGTAATAAGAACAAGGACAGCAAAAGGAAAGGCGGCGTTCCAGCAAAAAGCCACCGGTATGATCCAATCATAGCATGCAAGCTGGCGACCTTGCAACAAGCTTATACTGGAGAGGTGACAATAATGTACGGTGAAACTTAAACAGATACGGCATTCAGCGGGATAGTAGTAGTACTGATTAACTTAATCCAAAGTAGTAGCTAACAGGCCTAGTAACTAGTGAAAGGGCTGGCAGCTTAACCTCCTAAAGCTTACAAAAAGCAAACCACACTACGCTGCTCGCAATGTGAGGGATACCAGCGATATCCCTCCATTTCAATGCTAATCAAGCGAAAAGCTGAATCATTTGAATCCCCTTTGAGATATTCTACTAAAACTTCATAGTGATCACAACGATAAAGCAAGTCCATGTCAAAAGTTTCCTATCAAGAAAAGCTCAGAGCAAAGATAAAGGCGAGGAGAATTAAAGCACTTTTGGTCTTCTTGCCAGTAGCATGCCTTTGAGCACTGCATTATCAGTTCAGACACCAGACGATCAGACCAGGTATTCAGGGTCTATGTGGAGGAGGGTATGCTGCAGTGTTCTAATTGGTGTACAGCACGTTCGAATTGTTAGATACTGGTGATTAGTCGATTAAACAACTGAAGGTATGATATCTGAGCTGGCCAGTGAAATTTCAACAAGACTAGACTTAGCGCGGTAGAGTTATGGTTTTGTCATTTGTGGACACGCTCAGACAGAGAGGGAGATGCTGCATGTCAATTTGTGAGTTTCTGTTTGTGCACGAGGTGGAACTTTAACAGCACCACCGAATTAAAGGAACTCTACTGCAAATGCAGATCAACATGATTGATCATTTTAGAACGAGGAGCTACACATAACTGCAATTTTAGAATATCAAATTTACAGTTACAAACTTGATAAGAAGTCCATTTAAGTTAGAAAGCATCAAGTTTAATTTGTTCAAGCACAAGGAGTAAACCTGCATCGCATCACATATGCAGATATGCTGATTAGTGGTTACATACCACGCATAAAGCACACAGACACAGGCACTCTAGTAGTCTAGTTCACGATCATTGATCATACTGCAACTGTAATTCAGTAACTACATGAGTACAAATATATAGGCCAAGGAAGTGAAGAAACCGCCGGCGACGGAGAGAACGAACCGGTTGCCGGACACGCGATGCCCAGATCCGTACGCGTCCCCGGCGGCGCCGCTGCTGAATCCACCGCCCCCGTTCCCCCAGAAGCGCGCGTAGCACTTGCCGAGGTACACCTCGCCGGCCGTGGCGTAGCCGCAGCCGGCCTTGAGCTGGCCGGCGGCGGCCGAGACGCAGTCGGAGCAGGCCTTGGCGCCGAGGTCCCCCACGCACTGCGACATGGCCTGCACGCCCCCGGACCCGCCGGCGCGGTAGCCTCCCCCGGCGGGCGCCGCGGCGGCCACGAGCGCGCCGAGCGCCGAGTCCCGCATGGCGGCGCCGCCGGCGTCCCCCGGCGAGCCGCCGCACTTCTTGAACAGCACGGCCGTGTCCTGCTTCCCGAGGAACGTGTCGTTGCCGTAGCGCACGAAGCAGGCCCGCAGCTGCACGGCGCCGCCGGTGGCCCAGGCGCAGAGCGAGGAGAGCCTGGAGATGGCGGAGCGGACGCAGCCGGTGCAAACGGAGGCCGGGAGGTCGGAGCGGCACTGGTAGACGCCGACCACCGAGTTCGACGTCGGCGAGGTGAAGTTGGCGTAGGGGGAGTAGGGCGCGCTGTTGGCGACGGAGGTGAGCACGGAGTCGACGTCCGACGCGTACTGCGTGCCGGAGGCGTAGCGCCCCTGCGAGCACCCGGCGTACACGAACCCCGAGTAGTCGTCGTCGCCCCGCGCGCGCGCCAGGAGGAGCGAGAGGAGGAGCGCCGCCGCCACGCTCGTCGCCGTCGACGTGGCCGTAGCCATGCTGCTCCCGCTTGGTTGGCTTGGCTCTACGGGAGGAGAAAGCTGTGAAGCCTCTGGAGCGGAAGAGTTTTTAGAGCAGCATGTGCGCGTGCGGGAATTTACGTCGGTTGAGGCGAGCCAGGTAGGCCGGATCGCGTGAGATGGGCCTGATATCAGGCGAGATTCCGTGTGCAGGCCCACGCGTCCGGCGGTTTTGCGTCTCGCGATGTCGCGGTTGGGCTGAGCGCAACAATTGTGGGCCTGACTGGTCCGAGTCCATGGAAATTCCATTCGTTTCGTGGACCATATGGACATTATCCGAGTCCATGGACCATATGTACTGTATTAGCTGGCCTGCACAGTTCAACCTGGACCACTTTCTTCGGCTTCACCTGCACAACAGAACAAGTAGGATTTTGCATACTGTTTTTTTTTTGGGTTAAATGTACTTTGTTTAATTTGCCTCATCATCTCTAAGCGCCATTTAACAGTAGAAAACCCACCTAATTCGCTGAATAAACAACTATTTTGCATAGAAGCTCCACCTGATGAGATGATTGACAACTAATGTGTTCCCCTTGTGCGTGACTTGCCAGCATAGAAACACTGCGATTTGTTAACAGTACCAGGCGATCACGATCTGCAAGTAGAGAAAGGAACGGAAGCTCTTCGACCTGCCAAGCACACACGAAGATAATGCTGCTAACTGATTCAGACTTTCAGAGTTCAGATAAGACAAGCATCACGGCATCACGGGCAACTACGGGCTAAGGGACGCCAAATGTATAAATAGTGTGCCATTGCTTGCAGCCTTGCACTGCCAACCATTTGCAGGTATAATAATATAAACATTCAATATCCCCAAGAAACCAACAAAAAAGGACAGAACTAAACGATCCATCCCCATCTGCAGATTCTGTCCACACTTGTTCATACTTCTATCTTGCATGACTATCTTTTTGTGTTCAGACATCATCTCAATCGTTCTCATATCACAGTGGCACATGATTTGAGATGCTTAATCAGGAGAATCAATGGAGATGATCCCATCAGCTGTCACCAATCATGCTTGGTTTTCGTCGTTTATCCTTGCCGCCGCCAGCTTGGTAAACAGGCTTCCATCGTAGACTTCTCGCACGGCCTCCTTGCGAAGAAGGCCGTCCTTGTCCTTGCCGATCTTGTACAGAATCTTCCACTCTGACGATGCTGCGACCCTGCATTTCAATTCGAGCAAGAACAGCAGCATATACAGTAGTAAGATCACATGAAAGTTCATTAATATTTTGAGTGGTAATAGCCAGAAAATTAATTACTACCATCCAGTGTAGTCACCGGGCTTGCGGTTCGCTTGAAGCAGCTCGTCTATCTCGTCCGATGTCAGAGCATCAGGCACGGTCTTGGCGTGCTTGGCGAATATCTCCTCAAACTTTTCAGCAACGAACCTGAAAACTTGAAATATTAGCAATCATACTGAAATAGATACACCGGAGTGAAAATAGTCTGTGAAATGAATCGAATGATCTTTGGATGAGAAGGGTCAAATTGAAGAGCCAAGGTGAAAGCAGAAAGTAGTCTGCAACCGCAGCTTAATTACCTTCCTTCAGAATCATAGGCGCTTGAATCGCTTCCATGAATCCCCTTGTAGATGTTCTCTATGTAGATAGATAAGCGTGGTGCTGTTCCATTGTCCTGCGTGAATTCAACATGATCCAACGATTAATTGAACATCTCTTTTCGTATGCCATAGGAAATGGATCACTTATATCGATATACGTACAAAGACGTTCTAACAATCTTAGAGAAAAAATAGCTATAGATCACAGTAAAAAGAAGGATAGTAGCAGCTAATCCTAATCAATATGTCACGCCTACATCACAATTCACACCCTACTGTCTATACCGAACTTATCCAGAATTGAGGCCTGATTACGACAGTAGTGGTGAAGTACAAGGAAGGGTTAGATTTTCAATACTTCTGAAGTTGATAGCCTAATACAGAATTATGTGATCAGATAGTTAAGCGCTGATGACAACTTTCAAAACAGCATATCATTGTAGTGATGTAAACAAGCAAGAATTCTCTGCAAGTAATTACAGGCTAATAAAGCACCTTAAATTCAGTAATAAAAACATAAAGACTTTCAGATAGTAACATTTTAGCCAGAGTGAGAGAAAGAGAGAGAGAGGGAAGCGTACAGGTCTGGTCTTTGGGGAAAGGACGCCATTGATGAAGGCGGCGCTCAAGCTGGAGAGGCCAGACCCGAGTCCGAGTGCTCGTAACCCTGCGGTGCATCCGAGATGAGGATAAAAAATGAGGCGAAAATTCGGAAGGACGACACGGCATGAACAGACCAAATCGTGTTCAGTTCACAAATAAAATCACAAGTGAAACGAGATGGGGAGCTCACCGTCGTATGTCTCGGAGAGGGAGACGATGCCGTCGCCGTCCTTGTCGAAGAACGCCGCGTGCTTCTGCAGCGCCGTCACGCCGGCGTCGCCTGAAGCCTCTCCGTACGCCGCCGCCGCCGCCGGCGTATGGCTCCCTTTCAGGATTCAGAAGCGAGCGAGCAAAATCAAACAGCGCCGCAACAAAACAAAACTGAAAAAACGAAACAAAAAAAAAGAGACGGAAATCGCAGCCTCACCGAAGAACATGGGGAAGAAAAGAAGAGCCGCCGCCACGGCCACCGCCGGGGACAACCGCCTCCGCCGAGCGTCCATCGCGCGTGCGTCGCCGGCGGTTTCTTCTCGGCCCTGCCTCGCGCGTTGACTGCTACGAACTCTCTCGGCGGTTTCTGTTCCTGAATCTCTCGAGTCTCGACGGCGTGTGGCCTCTGTGTCCAGATATCCGCGCTATATATAGCGAGCAACATGATAGATATGTCAGGTCCCTAACTCGCCAGCTTAGGCCGGGTTTACTTCGTGTACCAAAATATATATATCGACGTATATTTGAAGTATTAAACGTAGACTAATAACAAAATAAATTATAGATTTCGTCTATAAACCACGAGACGAATTTATTAAGCCTAATTAATCTATTATTAGTAAATATTTACCGTAGCATTACATTGTCAAATCATGACGTAATTAGGCTTTAAAAGATTCGTCTCGTAATTTACATGCAAACTGTGCAATTAGTTTTTTATTCGTTCACATTTAATGCTTCATGTATATGTCCAAACATTTGATTTGACGGAATTTTTTGTAGTTTGAAGGAACTAAACACTGCCTTAACCTCGATTTTTTTTTGACACCAGGCCTTAACCACGATTTGGAAGAGGATAATGCCCACACTCTTAAACAACATTGCTGCGTGCCGTGTACTCTCGAGACAGTGCTCAATTTTTTTTCTTGAACGAATGGACGAGCGCCAATTTTATTGAATAGAGAAGGGGAACTTTATAAAGTAAAAGAAAAAAAGAAAGGAGCTAGGACCTTTGGTCCGAGCTAACTAAAAGAAAGCCAGCTATTAAAACTTCTCGCTCCTGTTAAGGCCCAAGTTTTGGCCTCTTTCTTGTTCTTGGCTAAAAGGGAGGTAGCTGAAAGCTCATTCTGTTGGAAGGTTCTGCGATTCCTTTCGTTCCATATCTCCCAGGCGACCAACAACATCAAAGTGCGGAGTGCCTTCTTAGGTGTCTCTTGTATGTTTACGGTAGCCTCCCACCAATCTAGCCATTCATCTATCCATTAATCTTAGGAATGGAATCAATTGGCGAGAATCGCTGTCATTCTGTATCTGTCACAGATTTCTCGTCAGATTGTTATGTTTCAATTGATGAACCTGTCTATCAGATGACTGGGTTTTTCTCGCTGAATAGGAAACCTGTAAAATTTGTATAGTGTGCATGACTGGCTACGCGAAATTAAATGGTTGGAAAAAGGTTTACTATTTTGACTGGCTGTTTGAGGAGAGTAACAATTACTGATTGGGCTCCGTGACAGCGAGAAAACAACAACGGCTTAAATACAAATGAGCCAGGTTGTTCGTGTGAGGAAGCCAGAAAAGGCCATAACCACGTTGTTCTTACGTGCCGCTGCTTTTCCACCGTTTGGTGAACGGTTTCTAAGTTTCTGTCCCCACGCAAATGCATATGACTTCCGAGGATTTCCTTGGTAAATATGGATCATTCATTTCAGCCCTGTTTTTCCTTGCTTCTCAAACAGACAAACACTCTAGCAGGATAGGGACCTTTATACCCTTGTAATCCAAATATAAGTTTAACTTTGTGTTACTCATAATTACCGGTAAAGTAAAAGAACCCCTCGTATATACCGTTTGGGTGGATAATATCAAGCATCTGGAAATCAAGAACATTGGTAATCGAAAATCAAGAACATCTCATCGAATTGCAGACCAAAAATCAAAGCTACTGCCAATTTCATTCTTAGAGCCATAGATCAGCATGCCACCATGTATCCTGGGCGTGGGCAGCTTCCAGTCTTGCCGCCGATGCTGTCCAGCCATGCCGCCGATGCCGACCAGCGACCATCCTCTGTGGTCATCACACCGATGCCATTATCACAGATGAGGCGGGGGCGGGAGACCTCGTTTGAACATTGCAGATCAAGGCCGTCTATACGGCGGTGGCATGGACTGAAGCCGCCTCGACAGTGGCGAGGGCAGTTGAGGCTGCCGCGACGGGGATGTCGAGAGGAGCCGAGCAGCCTTAGGCCAGAGCGAACTAGCGGAGCATGGTGGCGGCGACGGGATGATGGTGTATTGGTGTGGGGAGGTGTGTAGGCGGCGGCGGTGGGGAGAGGCGGCGCGCTGCACGGAGACACGAGCCCAAGGCGGAGGAGACTGCCAGACTGGGAGGTTTTTATTACCTATATACCATTAAAAAAGATAGTATTGTCTCCGTGCTACTAAAAAGTTCGAGCCTCTCCTATGTCATCATCGAACTTTATCGCGCCATCCACACCATTCCGTCCGTTTTTGTCCCAACGGCGGGTAACAGCGCAACCAAATGACTTTGTTGCCCTTAGGGTTGAGAGAGAGAGAGCGCGCGCGCTAGCCTACCTCCTTGAAGCGCGGGACGAGACGGCCACTGAGGTGGAGGCCCATGAGACCATCGATCCCGCCGACGGGGGCGCCACCGACAAAGAGCGCCAGGACGGCGGCGGCGGCGGCCGCGGACGCCGCGGCCTCCTCGGCGGCCCCCATGGTGGCGAGGAGCCGGCGCATCCCCGACGACGACCCTCCTACCAGCGTCAGCCCCAACCTGCGCCACGACGATGGGATCGACGGTCGACGACGAGGCGCATCCCCGACGATGACGAGCTCCGGCTGAGCCGGCCGCACTGGATCAGGATGGCATTCACCTCTTCCTTTGTGTAGATCGAGGTCTGCACCAGCACCCTACTTACGATGACGGGCTTCGACTTCTCCTCCGGGACGGGCCTCTTCACCTCCTCATCCGCTGCCTCGCTGCTCGTGTCGGTTGGCCGCCACACCACCCCGTCCCTCGGCTGGTTGCCGCCCGCCACACCGGTCGCTTGCCTCAATGCCGCGCTTGGCTGCTTGTCCGCCACGCCGCCTGGCCTCTCTCTGAAACGAAGCAGACACTAAAAGGGCAAGAGCGACATTTCCTGCCCGGGCCCACATGTCAGAGCTGCCAAACGGTTAAACTCACACAGAATAGCGACGGAATGGTGTGGAGGGCGTGATAAAGTTCGACGATGGCATAGAGGAAGGTTCAAACTTTTTAGTGGCACAGAGGCAGGCACCATCTTTCTTAGGGCTTATTCGGATTAGAGGAACTTCACAGGATTTTTGGAGGAATACTGTATATAGGATTTTGTTCCTTTCCTGTCATTCGGATCATGAAAACTGGTTGTAGGAAATCCAAAGGAAAGTTTCCTTTGATGCTAATTTCACAGGAAAAGTACAGGAAAATCCATCCACCTCGAGCTCTTTTTTTTCGCTTTCTGCATGCAAATCCTAGGCAATCAATTTCCTGTGATCTGAATGCTCTCAACTTTTGTATTCCTTTGTTTTTCATTCCTCTATTTTACACTTAAATTCCTTTCCTATTCCTATAAATTTCCTATCCTAAGTTTTTCCTATCCTATAATCCGAACGAGCCCTTAATGGTATACAGGTAAAGACCTCCCAGACATGTATCAGAGGGGTAGAGGCGCAGAGCGGATGAAGCGAGGAAGAGTGGAAGACTAGGAGCGCAGTGTGGGTCGGATTTCTGTCGTAATTTTTGCGTGGGCTCCGAGGTAGTTTTCCCGGTGGTAATGGGCCTTTTCCAACGGATTGTAATACGATAACAACCCATCCAAGCGTATATTTGCTGAATAAGTCTATTTAGCATCCCTGATTTCTATCTGCTGGTTGAATAACCTCATCAAGCATCAATCACACAACCAAGTATAGGGCCTCCCTCATCTTTAAAATCCGGTACAAATCGTCTCCTCGTATTCTCGAAAAGAAAAAAAAGGACATAATCTCAATTGTTCTCTTTTTTTTAAAGGAGGGCAAAAGCTTTGTCTCGTATATTGGTAGAGAGGGAGTAAAAGAATACACAGTCAGCCGTTCACATAGCACAGTGGCACATAATCTGAGATGCTTAATTAGGAGGATCAATGCAGAAGCTCTCGTCAGCTGTCAACAATCATGCCTGGTTTTGCTCCTATCTCCTCGCCTTCACCAGCTTCGCAAACAGGCTTCCATCATAAGCAGTCTGCAATCTATAGATTGCAGGCTTAATCGCCTTCTTTCAGAATCATAAGCTCCTAAATCACTTCCATGAATCGCCTTATGGATGTTCTCTATGTAGATAGATAAAGTCAGGTAATGATGTTAATGGTTCATTTTTGTCTTTGTCTTGTCCTTCTATTATTGATAACCTATGCAACATAGGTATTAATCTTGGTAGCTCTAGTGCTGAAATTTTAGGTTCAATAATTAGTTTGAAAAATGTTGAAGAGACTAGACTTAGAAATTATGTTGCACCTAAAGCTGATTTAGTTGGAAACATAGAAGGAGAACTTGAGTCAGAGGAGGATGAGATGGTGGATAACTTAGTCCTTGGTCACTTATGTGGTGGCTTAGTGGACGAAGTTATGGACGAAGAACCCGATCACCTAAGTTGTGACTTAAAAAAGGGTTTCAAGGTTTATAAGTCCAAGTCATTCTTCAAAAGAAACAAGGGACAAAAGGTGAAAGTGATCTTGAAAAATAAGAAAAGTATGTCATGAAAGGAATTTTTTGGAATAGCAGAGATCTAGGTGACTTGGCTAAATTTAGATTCCTTTCAGAGACTTCCAAGGAGTGGAAGCTAGACTTCATTACTCTTTTGGAAACTGGAAAACATGATTTTTCATATTCTAGTCTAAAAAATATTTGTGGTGGTAAAGATTTTATGTGGCATTGGACAAGACCGAAGGGGAGACCTGGGGGTATTCTTTTGGGGGTTAATTTGGAATTCTTTGAGGTTGCAAGTATAGATGAGGGAGATTTCTATGTAAAGTTCCATGTGCAAAATAAGGTAGATGGCTTCCAATGGTGCGTTCTGGCAGTGTATGGGGCAACACAAGAAGAATATAAGGAGGCTTTCCTTGTAGAGCTTGTTAATGCTTGTAATAAAGAGTCTATACCTATTCTTATGGGAGGAGACTTCAATATCATAAGGAAGGCTAGTGAAAAGAATAATAATAACTTTAATGTAAAGTGGCCTTTTTTGTTCAACGCTGTCATAGACAGCCTGGATTTGAGAGAACTAGAACTCTCTGGTCGAAAATTTACATGGGCCAACTCGTTGCACAATCCAACTTTTGAGAAGTTGGATAGAGTGCTAATGAGTACTGAATGGGAACAAAAGTATCCGTTAGCAACTGTCAGGGCTCTTAATAGAGAACTCTCTGACCATACTCCTTTGTTGCTGGATACGGGGGCTGGGACACATGCTAATAAACAACTGTTGTTCAAGTTTGAGCTTGGATGGTTGCTAAGAGATGGCTTTGTGGATCTAGTAGCAGACATTTGGAGAAAGGAAAGTAGAGGGTCTAATATGTTGGAAAAATGGCAATTTAAGATTCGTAGGCTCTGACAGTTTTTGAGAGGGTGGGCGAAGAATGTTAGCGGGGCGAACAAGAGGGAGAAGGTTCTTTTGATAGCAAAAGCAGACAAGCTAGAAAAGAAGGCTGAAGTCCAACTGTTGTCTAATCAGGAGTTAGATTTGAAACTCTTTGTAAAAAATAGATTGGCCCAATTGTTGAGGGAAGAAGAAATAAAATGGTACCAAAGGGCAAAAACTAAGCACATAATAGAAGGAGACCGTAACATGAAATATTATCATTTAGTGGCCAATGGCAAGCATAGGAAGACGAGAATCTTTCAATTAGAGCAAGAGGAGGGTGTGATTAAGGGTGATGTGCAATTAAAGAAATACATATCCAAGTATTATAAAAATCTTTTTGGAGCGCCGAAGGAAAATAATTTTTCTATGGTGGAATCCCAAAGAGATGATATTACACAAGTCACGGATGTTGAGAATGAGTTGTTGAGTGAAAGCTTCAAGGAGTTGGAAGTTAAAGAAGCAAATTTTCAAATGGAACACAACAAAGCTCCGGGACTTGATGGTTTCCCAGCAGAGTTTTACCAAGTGTTCTGGGATGTAATCAAGGATGATCTTATGGCCCTCTTTCACGATTTTTATGAAGGAACTTTGCCACTGCACAGATTAAATTTTGGAATCATTACTCTCCTTCCCAAACAAAAGGACGCTAGTAGAATTCAACAGTATAGGCCCATTTGTCTGTTGAATGTTAGTTTTAAAATTTTTACGAAGATAATGGCCAATCGAATAGCCCTAGTGGCTCAGAAGGTCATTAAACCTTCGCAGACAGCTTTCCTGCCAGGAAGGAACATTATGGAAGGAGTGGTAATTTTGCATGAAACACTTCATGAATTGCACAAGAAAAAGAAGAATGGGTGATTCTAAAGCAAGACTTTGAGAAAGCATATGACAAAGTTGATTGGAAGTTTCTACAACAGTCATTGTGAATGAAAGGTTTCTCTTCTAAGTGGTGCGATTGGATTGACTCGATTGTTAGGGGTGGGAGTGTGGCAGTCAAAGTAAATGATGAGATTGGGAGTTATTTTCAAACAAGGAAAGGTTTGAGGCAAGGTGATCCTTTGTCACCTATTCTGTTCAATCTTGTTGCAGATATGTTAGCCATTTTAATACAAAGAGCGAAAGATCAAGGCAGATTCAAAGTAGTGGTACCTCATTTAGTTGATAATGGTCTTTCTATTTTACAATACGCTGATGATACTATTCTTTTTATGGATCATGATCTTGATGAAGCCAGAGATCTCAAGCTTGTACTAAGTGCATTTGAGAAATTATCTGGCTTAAAGATTAATTTCCATAAGAGTGAGTTATTTTGCTATGGCAAGGCAAAAGATGTGGAGCATGAGTACGTCAAATTATTTGGGTGTGATACCGGGGATTACCCTTTTAAATACTTAGGGATTCCAATGCATCACAAGAGAATCAACAATAAGGATTGGCAGGGTGTGGAGGAGAGGATTCAAAAGAAACTGAGTAGTTGGAAAGGAAAATTTCTCTTGGTAGGAGGAAGGTTGGTCCTTATCAATTCAGTGTTAAGTAGTTTAGCGATGTTCATGTTGTCCTTCTTTGAGATCCCTAAGGGTATTCTCAAAAAGCTAGACTATTATAGATCTAGATTTTTCTGGCAATGTGATGAACATAAGAAGAAGTATAGGTTAGCAAGATGGAGTGTATTGTGCAAACCAAAGGAATGTGGTGGCTTGGGTATACGGAACTTAGAGATACAAAACAAATGCTTGCTTAGCAAATAGTTGTACAAACTCATCAATGAAGAAGGGGTTTGGCAGGACATTCTTAGGAATAAATACTTGACTAAGAAAACCATCACACAAGTCGAGAAACGCCCTGGAGATTCACATTTCTGGGCTAGGCTAATGGGGATGAGGGATGTCTTTTTTAAAGGCGGTGCCTTTAAGGTGGGGGATGGTTCTCAGATAAGATTCTAGGAGGATTGCTGGATTGGTGATTTACCTTTTGAAAAGTTGTACCCTAATTTATACAATCTTGTAAGGAATAAGAATGCTATTGTTGCGGATGTTATAGATAAAGTGCCGTTAAATGTTGAGTTCAGAAGGGCTTTGGTGGGGGAGAATTTGGTTGCATGGTTTAACCTAGTGGCTAAAGTGGTTCTTGTTAGGCTCTCAAACCATAGAGACAAGCTTATTTGGAAAGTTAACAAAACCAGAATATTTTCGGTTAGTTCCATGTATAAAATGATTATGTATGAGAATGTAGTGCCAAGGAAGGATTTAATTTGGAAGCTTAGAATTCCTTTGAAAAACAAAATCTTCCTCTGGTATTTAAAGAAGGGAGTGATTCTCACGAAGGACAATCTAGCAAAAAGAAATTGGAAGGGCATCACTAAGTGTTGTTTTTGTAACCACAATGAAACGATACAACATCTCTTTTTTGATTGTCATGTGGCTAGATTTGTTTGGAGTACCCTTTTTATAACATTTGGGATAAATCCGCCTAACAGTGTTGCTAATATGTTTGGGATTTGGCTAAAGGGTTTACAATCTAGGCTAAAGCACCAAATCTTTATAGGGATTGTGGCGTTGTTGTGGGCAATGTGGATTTGTAGAAATGATGTGGTCTTCAATGGCTCCAATTTTAACTCTTACTTGCAGGTTATTTTCAGGGGGACGTATTGGGCTCGACAATGGTCCTTGCTGCTTAAAGAAGATGAGCGCGATGTGATGAAGGAAGGATGCAAACTGTTAGAGACATCTGTCATGCACTTCTTTGGTAAAGATGGATGGAACATGAGAAAGCGGTTAAAGGAGTAATGTGGTCATTAGTTTATTTGGAAGGTCTTTTCACTTTGAAAGGCGTTGGAAGTCTTTGTGCTCTTTTAGTTTTATGTAAGGTGTGCTTGAGCCTTTGTGCTCCTTTTGTTTGTGAACATGTGTGTATGAACTGAGCTTGTTTGGTCGGATTTTCTGTGGCTGTATACATCCCCGTTGGTGTAGAAGCCGGGTTTTATAAATTCCCATTATCTAAGCGTGGTGATGTTGCATTGTCCTGCGTGAATTCAACATGATCCAACGATTAATTTGACGCCTTTTTTTTTTGTATGTAATGTGTCATTCATTGGAAATGGTTCACTTAAAAACATACTCCTTTTATTTTAGGTTATAAGATATTTTAACTTTGGTCAAAGTCAAACTTCTATAAGTTTGACTAAGTTTATATACAAACATAGTAATTTACATTACTAAATTAGTTTTATTAAATTAATAATTAAATATATTTTTATAATAAATTTATCTTTGGTAAAAAATATTACTATTTTTTTCTATAAACTTGGTAAAACTTAAAGCAGTTTGATTTTAACCAAAGTCAAAACATCTTATAACCTAAAACGAGTACATGGAGAGACGTTCTAACGATCTTAGAGAAAAAAATAATAATTATAGAACATTACTGTAGAAGAAAAGCGGCTGTCCAGAATTGAGGTCTGATCAGGACAGTAGCAGTGAAGTACATGGAAGGGTTAGATTTTCAATACTGGCCGTGTTTAGATTCTAACTTTTTCCTTCAAATTTTCAACTTTTTCATCAGATCAAATATTTACACACATGTATAGAGCATCAAATATGGATGAAAAAAAAACAATTGCACAGTCCGACTGTAAATTACGAGACGAATCTTTTACGCTATGATTTTACAATGTGATGCTACAATAAACATTTGCTAATGATGGATTAATTAGGCTTAATAAATTCATTTCGTAGTTTATAGGCGGAATCTGTAATTTGTTTTGTTATTAATCTACGTTTAATACTTCAAATATGTATCCGTATACTAAAAAAAATTGGCACACGAACTATACTAAGCCACTACTGAAGTTGATAGCCTAACACTACACAACTACCCCCTCCGTCCCATAAAAATCAACTTAGTACTGAATGATAAATCCTAATACTACAAATCTAGATATATGTGGACATACATATGTCCAGATTCATAGTACTAAAATATGTCATATTCAGTTTTAGATTCGTTTTTTAGGGACAGAGGGAGTATTTGTCATCAGTAGTTAAGCGATGATAACAACTCTCAAAACGGCACGTCATTGTAGTGACTAGTGAGGCACCTTAAATTCAGTAAATAAAACGATAAAAACTTCAGATAGTTTTTTGAGCCGGAGAGAGAGAGAGAGAGAGAGAGAGAGAGAGAGAGAGAGATACTGATCGTACAGGTCTGGTCTTGAGTGAAAGTACGCCATTGATCAACGCAGCGCTTAAGATGGAGAAGCCAGCTCCAAGTCCGAGGGCGCGTAACCCTGCGATGCATGCAACCATGAGAGGATAAAATGAGGCGAAAATACGCGCAGACCAAGACCAACCAAATCGTGTTCAGTTCACAAGCGAAACGAGAAAGTACTAGAAATTTAGAAGGCCTTTGAAGCTCACCGTCGTATGTCTCGGTCGGGGAGACGAAGCCGTCATTGTCCTTGTCGAAGAACGCCGCGTGCTTCTGCAGTGCCGTCATGCCGCCGGCGCCTGAAGCCTCGCCGTACGCCGCCGCCGGCTGGCTCCCTTTCAGGACATAACCAAACAAAAAATGTAAAAAAAGGGAAAAAGAAAAGAAGAAGAGAGAGATGGAAATCGCAGCCTTACCGAAGAACAGGGGGAAGAAAAGAAAAGCCGCTACGACCACCACCGGGGACAGCCGCCGCCGTCGAGCGTCCATCGTCACGCTTCGCCGGCTGTTTCTACTCTCAAACATATTTTTATAATATGTTTATTTTATGTTAAAATACTAATATATTTTTTATAAACATAGGCTTTAACAAGTTTAACTAAAAAAAGTCAAATAATTTAAAATATGAAACGTAGGGAGTATTTTACGAGTTGACTGTTAGATCTCTTCTCCCGAGTCTTTTGGAGACGTGTGGCCACTATGGATGTCCGCCTTATATATATAGGAGCAACATGGTAGGCAGAAGAAGATAATACCTACACACTTAGTTCAGCACCATGTGCGTGTCGTGTGCTGTCGAGAGTCGATCGAGACCGTGCTCATCTATCAATCTTAGGAATCAGTTGATTAGAATCGCTAATATATAGTTAAAGTGTGGCTTTAATTTTATTAGCTATATATTAGGCCTGGTAGCTTAAAAAGTATGATGAAGTAATATGTTAGGTTGGCATACTCAAATTGTCAAATATGAAATGAAATGTTTGGCATACTCAAATTGGCAATACTAGTGTATTGAGTTGGCCTACTCAAATTGCCAAATACGAAATGAAATGTTTGGTATACTCAAAATGATAATACTAGTATGTTGAGTTGGTATACTTAAAATTGCCAAATACGAAATAGGATGGTTGGCATACTCAAACTGGTAATACTCGTATGTTTTAAGTTGGCATATACTCAAATTGCCAAATACGAGATGAAATGAAATGGTTGGCATACTCAAACTAGCATACTACTACTACTACGGAGTAGTATGATTAGTTGGCATACTATTATGTATAGTTTAATCAATGAAGGGGCCTATCAGATGACAGTTTTTTTTTAAAGCTGAAAACATGTAAGATTGTAAATGACTGCCTACACGAAATGAAATGGTAGTTGGCAGAAGGTTACTACTATTTGCGTGTGAAAACTGAAAGTTGAAGACAATCCCACCGTGGATTTATTTTGACTGGCCATTGAGGAGAGTAACACCTGCTGATTGAGCTCCGTGACAGGGATAAACAAACGACAGCTTAAAGCAAAGCTAGGTAGTTCGTGGCTTCGTGCGAGAATCCAGAAAAGGTCATTAGACTCATTACCGTTGTTAAGACGATGTTCTAACGTGCCGCTACTTTCCACCATTTGGTGAACCGATTTCCACGTTTTTGTCCCTACGCAAATGCATATGACTTCCGGGCATTTCCTAGGTTTTCTTTTTTAGGACTATTTCCTAGGTAAATATGGATCATTCGTTTCATGGCGCCCTGGCTCTGTTTTTTCTTGTTCAGACTTCAGAGAGACAACCACTTTTGCAGGGTGCTCTTTGATTTGCAGGCATCGACCGATATATCACAAACTTATGGGCTTGTTTACTTTATTGACACTTTCAATCTATCAAAATTGTTTGTTGTTTTTTTTAGGTCTTTATTTTTTTCTCTCTGCCAATATAAAACCCCACACTATCTTATACGATTCGTTAAAGGAGAACATCAAATTTTGCTAGGCTAACGAACTAAACATGGTTTTATCAAATGCTATATATCCTACCAAAATTTAATAGTTTTGGAATTTTTCCTCTCATAAAAATGCTGCCAAATCTACTACTACTTAAAAAATAAGAGGTGCTTCCATCGTCCGTCAAAAAAACCGGGCAGAAAAAACCAAGTTTGTCTGATCAAAAAAACCGGACGAAAAAAAAGTCCGATCCAAAAAAAAAAGTGAAAAAAAACCGGGCGAAAAAAACACCCGTCCCTGGCAAAAAAACACCCGATCCCTTAAAAAGGGAAAAAAAAGTCCGAGAGACAAACCGTTTAATGAATAAAAAAAACGAAAAAAAAGAGTTCGATTCCCTGGAGAAAAAAAATCTGATTTCCCTGGAAGAGATCCGATCTGTATTGGATTGGAGAAAAGAAAAAAAAAAACACTTCTCTAGGTGCTTCTGTCGTCCGTCAAAAAACGGGAGAAAAAAACCGAGCGAAAAAAAAAGAAAAGTCCGATAAAAAAACCTGGCGAAAAAAAACCGGGCGGAAAAAAAACAAATATGTCCGACAAAAAAAAAGGAAAAAAAGGAAAAAATACCGAAACGAATCCGACTACATCGACGCGGTAAAAAGAGTTTAAAAAAATAAAAAGAAAACTGTCCTATTCCAAAGAAAAATGAATTATATGTATCGTGGAGAAAAAAAAAAGAAAAGTCCGATAAAAAAACCTGGGCGGAAAAAAACCGGGTGGAAAAAAAACAAATCTGTCCGACAAAAAAGAAAGCAAAAAAAGGAAAAAAATCGAAACGAATCCGACTACATCGATGCGGTAAAAAGAGTTTAAAAAAATAAAAAGAAAACTGTCCTATTCCAAAGAAAAAGGAATTATATATATCGTGGTAAAAAAATCGACCGGGCGAAAAAAGAAAAAAATAGTCCGATCCGAAAAAAACAGGAGAAAAAAAAATGGGCGAAAAAAAAATTTGTCCGATAAAAGAAAAGGAAAAAGCTGAAAAGAATCTGACTCCATCGACGCGGTAAAAAAAGGCGAAAAAAAACTTTCCGATAAAGAAAAAGGAATTATATGTGACGCGGTAAAAAAATAAAAAAACCAGGCGAAAAAAAAGATAAAAGTCCGATAAAAAAACGGGGCGAAAAAAAAACAAATCTGTCCTATCCAAAAAAAGCCAAAAAGGGGAAAAATCAAAACGAATCCGACTCCGTCGACGTGGTGAAAACAGGGCGAAAAAATTCCAAAGTAAAGGGAGAAAAAAAATCAAAACGAATCCGACTCCGTCGACGCGGTAAAAAAAGGGCGAAAAAAATCCAAAGTAAAAGGAATTATATGTGACGCGGTAAAAAAAATCGATCGGGCGAAATAAACCGGGCAAAAAAAAATCTGTCCGATCCAAAAAAAGGGGAAAAAATCAAAACGATTCCGACTCCGTTGACGCGATAAAAAAGGGCGAAAAAATTGTCTGTTTCTAAAGAAAAAGGAATTATACGTGATGCGGTAAAAAAAATCGAATCCTATTATATCTAGAAAGGTTTGACACTATGTGAAAGTGGTGAAAAAAACCCTTCGTAAAAGAAATGCACGAGAAAAAAAATTAAAAGAACGGAAAAAAGCGCGGAGGAAAAAAGTCAAATTTATATTCGTCGTTTTTTAGTCCATTTATATATCTTTTTTATCTCTAATCTAATCTAATCTAAAAAAAGGAAAAAATGTCAGAAAAAAGCACAAAAGAAAACGCGCTAGAAAATAAAGTTTCGTAGTTCTAATTTTCTGATTGTTATCGACATGGTTATGCATGAAAAACGTATATTATCATTACGTTTTTTCACCCGTTGCAACGCACGGGCATATTTGCTAGTCATACAAAAGTATTAAGCTAAATATTTATACAACAGTACCTTGGGTAACGTCAAAACTTATCAAAATTTAATAAGACTGATTTTAACAACAAAGTGATGAAGCCCTTGGTACTCCGATCATAAAGAGAGGTAACCATCACAACCAGCCATGCTTGCTTCGCGGCGCAGAAGGACCCTTAGGGCCTGTTTGGTTTCCAGGGACTTATTCCAAATCCATGTCACATCGGATGTTTGGATATTAATTTAGAGTATTAAACATACACTAATTACAAAACACATTCCATATCCTTGGACTAATTCACGAGACGAATCTTTTGAGTCTAATTATGTCATGATTTTGACAATGTGATGCTACAGTAAACTTTTTATAATTATAGATTAATTAGGCTTAAAAAAATCGTCTCGCGGATTAGCTCTCATTTATGAAATTAGTTTTTTTATTAGTCTATGTTTAATACTCCAAATTAGCGTCCAAACATCCGATGTGACATGGGCTAAAAAGTTTTAGCCCCATCTAAACACCCCGTTAGAGTGTGTTTGGACCTCTAGGTTCCCAACCCAAATCCCTCGTTTTTCGCGTGCACGCTTTTCAAACTGCTAAACGGTGTATTTTTTACAAAAAGTTTCTATACAAAAGTTGTTTAAAAAATCAAATTAATTTATGTTTGAAAAAAAATTAACTAATACTTAATTAATCACGTGCTAATAGATCGCTCCGTTTTCCGTGCGGAGTCACTATGTTCCCATCATCCACATGCGAACACAGCCTTAGTCGTCATTCTCCTTCGCCAGTTTACTGAAGAAGCTCCCGTCGTAGACGGCTCTGACGGTGTCCTTGCGAAGGATGTCGTCCTTGTCCTTGGCGGCCTCGAATGTCGCCCGCCACTCTGTTGCAGCCTGGAGCCTGCATTTTCTCGATCTTAGGCCGAGTTTACTTTCAAAATTTTTCTCTAAACTTTAAAATTTTTCATCACATCAAAATTATCCTACACATACAAACTTTCAACTTTTCCGTCACATCATTCTAATTACAACCAAACTTCTAATTTTGGCATGAACTAAAGACACCCATTACTCCAACAACCACAGGTGAATAAATATATATAGTTATACCATTTATGATTCTTGAAGCACTAAGTTTTCTATTTGATAGACTAAGTTCCTAATTAAAATAGTTGTATATATCCGGTTGGATATAGATGCCGGGTAAAAAAATACCCTATGATTCTTGAAGCAACAAGCTAGCAAAAGATTACCATCCTGAGCTGTCTTTGTGCTCTGTATGATCTGCGTATGCATGAAGCATCTCGTCCAGCTCGTCTGATGTCAGGCCGTCGGGTACAGTTTTTGCATGCCTGGTGAATATCTCATTGAATTTTTCACTAACAAACCTGCATAGCAGAGGCCTAGTCTAGTTTAGTTCTCAACTTTTTCTTTAAATTTTTAACTTTTCTATCACATCAAAACTTTCCTACACATATAAACTTTCAACTTTTCCGTCACATCGTTCTAATTTCAATCAAATTTTCAATTTTAGCTTGAACTAAACACACCCAAGTTGAGTATAGCCGTATTTAGGTATTTTTTTGTGGGGCTTCCTCGGAATACATGAATTTTGCATGATTCTCACATGAAAAAGTTTAAATCCTTAAAAATTCCAAACCAGATAAGCCTTTACTAGTTTAATAATCACAAAATGCATGTGGCATCTAGTACTCGTTTATAATCTAGACACGTTCCCAAATGGATGAGGAGAGCACGGTGTACCTTCCTTCAGAATCGAATGCACCCGTATCACTTCCATGGATCCCTTTATGAATGTTCTGTACATAGATAGAAAACCATGACCCATCTGCGTCTTCCTGCATGCATTTGGAAAAGTTCAACTCTTGAGGTTGTCATCTTAAATATGAGGTGAATTATGCGTTGAATGAGAACATATATATAATATAAATTATACAAAGGCGTCATGCGCTGTGTATATAGAAAAAAATATGTGGTGCAAACTTTATGTATATTGTGCAAAGCTGAAAACTATCGTAGGATAGGAAAATGGACGTATAAGATTTATCTGTCTCCATGAATAAACTATTTACTCTATGTATGTATGTATATATGTAGAGGTTGCACTACATATTTTTTTTATATACGTTCACAGGGCATAAGAGAGATCATACAGGTCTAGTTTTGGGGCCGATGTCGCCATTGATGAAGGTAGCACTCACGGTGGCGCCGAAAATCCCAAATCCGAGGGTGCGGAGCCCTGGCACCATATAAAGTCCAAAATGCAGCCTAAATCACATCCCTTTATCAATTGAAAAAGCATACTACCCTCATTTCAAAATATATGATACCATTGGCTTTTCGCATATCGTGTGATAATTCGTTTTATTAAAAGAACTAGTATAAATATATTAAAAAATTAGTATAAATATGTAAAAGTGTAAGTTAATATTATAGTTCTTTGATGATAAAACATATCACAATAAAATAAATAATATTTATATAATTTTTTAAATAAGATAAATAGTTAAATATTATATAAAAATTAACGGTATCATATATTTTAAAATAGAAGAGTACAAGGCCAAGTAGAAATTATCGAATACTCTAGCAGAGAAAATCAAGGCAGGGCGGGCGTGGCCACCTCTGTACGTCTCGCCAAAGGTGATGATGCCGTCGTGGTCGCTGTCGAAGAACGCCACGTGCTTCTGTAGCTCCGTTGCCGGGGCGTCGCCGCCCACCGCCGCCGGCTGGCTCCCTTCCTCGATCGTAAACATAATTGGAAACGAAACGCGCGTGCCAGAGGATGACTAGTACTCCCTTCATCTCTAAATATTTAACGCCATTGATTTAAACACATTTGACTATTTATCTTATTTAAAAAATTTAAATAATTATTAATTTTTTTCTACCATTTAATTCATGGTTAAATATACTTTTATATATACATATATTTTTACATATTTCACAAAATTTTTTAAAATAAGACGAACAGTTAAACATGTTTAAAAAAATCAACGGCGTCAAAATTTAGCGAAAGGGGGAGTATTAATTACAGGGGCCTTACGTACAGAAGCATGCGGCGGACAGGAGGAGGAGAGGCACGGCCGCGACCGCCGCCATATCGTTGTCGCCGGCCAGGGACGACAGCCGCCGTCGTCGAGCCTCCGCTGCCGTTTCCGGCTGTTCCGAGCCACCTCTGCTTCTTGATCCCTCGCTTACCCGCTGAAGGCTGTATATGTGCTCCTCTCCCTCTGGCGCCACGTGCTTCGCGTGTTTCTACGATCGGCTAAAATTTTCCATGCAAACCTATCGCTTGCAGGCGATACTCACCCAAATAGTCAAATACTCAGCATCTATAATAATGGTGCCACAAATCTAAGCTCCACACAGTCGGATTTTAGTTCGCATGATTAAAATAACATTAGTAAGTTACGGTTATAATCAAAGGCAACACAAATCATTAATATGCTAAGGTGAACTTTAAAAATAAAAGCAATCTGGTTAAAATACACAACATAAATTAACTTTTATCTAGAAAAACTATCAACGAATATTTACAATAAAAATATATAAAAGTTATTGTGTAATTATAAACTAATTACACATGTAACTATAGTGTAATTTGTAGTTACATATATAATTACTGTATAAATAATGTAGTTACATTCACTGACTAGCACGTGTCATGTAGAGAAAAAGGACTCGCCACCTTGGGAACAAGTTGTTCGATCGGCTTGTCTAGATGCACTTTGAAGCTTGCACGAATAGTGAAGAAGATTAGATGGCAGACAAAGTTACTTTATTTAGCCGAAAAATATGTCGACCCGAAGTTATATGTGAAATATATTCTGATTTTTAAGATCTATTTTATACAAAATGGGAAAGTATTTCTCATGTTTTTTTCATGTCACCTAGATAGTAAAAAAAATACAAGATATATTACTATGAGATATATAACTTCACAAATATGTAAGTTGAAATTCAACTTCTACAAATTTTAGTAAAAATAAAAAATACAGCTGTGAATCCTTGTCCATACGAAATAGAATATATGCATGAAATTAGAGAGGTTGTGAGTTTAATCCCTAGGTCCTGGCGCACTTGTAAATTTTTTTCCTCCTCCACTTGTAAATTTTTTTCCTCCTCCACCAGCACGAATCATGAGGCGATCTGACAGCTACAAATTCGAAAATTTTATGGTAGAAAATCTATCGCAAGTTTTTTTAGCAGTTATGTTACTATTTGCGTGTAGGGGTGAAAACGGGTCGGGTTCGGTCGGATCTCATCCTTTCCGTATCCTAACCCACATTTTAAAATAGGGATCGGGTCGGGCACGGATATTATCGGATACGAATACAAGCACGGATAATGTCGGGATTAAATACGGAACGAATACGTACCAAGTCAGATACGAACACTATCGGTTACGAATCCTTATTCGGATATCAAATCAAAGCAATAACCATATATACCACATAGGCAATAGTCGTTCAATCATTCCATATACGTATAATATGAATATATATTAGAGACTTAGGGAATGGTAATACCTATCAGCACAACAGATCCAAAGTAGGCGTACAGACTCAAATACTCAATGGTGTAGACCATAGTTCACGGTTCAGCATTTTGCTTTACGTTGTTGCTCCTCCACACTTGTAACTTTGTCCTTGACACAGATACTAGTGTTTGCATTACCACTAGCCATTCTATCCTAATCCTACAGCCAAACAGTAAAAGTAAAATAAAACACTGAACTTCAAGTCGTAAGGTGATGTTGATAAAGCAATAAAACACTGAACTTTTGCTCACCTGGATGACCTGCTGAGAGGTGACTACCGGAAGAGATGGTCGGCGCCTCGGCGGTGGTAGGCGGGGCCTTGCGACGGTGGTCGGCGGCGGTCAACAGCGGCCAGCGGCCAGCGGGCGCGGGCGCGCAGCAGCGTAGCCACTAGCAGCTAGCACAGCGCCTAGCGGCTAGCATGCACGACGCCGGCGGCGGCGCCGGCTGTGCGCCTGTGCCTCAGTGCCAGTGGTTGGTTGCTCGCGTGCGGCATGCGGCGCCCTCAGGCTGATGCCTGCTCGTCTCCCTGGTGGTTGTAGCAGTTCGGGTCATATACGGGTAGTTAACTGGGTAATACCCGCATAATTTACCGGATACAGATACTGTCCTCCCGAACCCGATCTCGTATCCGCTAGAAAAAATTCGTATTTGAATCCGATATCCGTGAAAGTACTCGGGTACCCGAATTTTTGACCCGAATTTATCCCAGATTAATACGGGCGGGCGGCGGACGGGAAATACCCGCCCCGTTTTCACCCCTATTTGCGTGTGAGAAATAAGAAATATTTCCCACTAAAGCAGTGCTCTCCACTGACCACGTAGCAGCAATCTTAACTACTAATTGATTCATTGATTTATGAGTCCTACTATCAGTAAAAAAAGATCATTCTATTATCGATAGTTAATTATATATGGTAGTGTATATTATAGTTAACCATTGATTCATCGATTTATGAGCCCTACAATCAGTAAAAAAAAGTCATTCTATTATCACTATTTAATTAATTAATATGGTAGTATTACTTATGTGGTATTCTTTTCTCCCGTAGATGAAGATTAAGTGGTTTACGCAAAGTGAGGTGGTATTAACGTATGATTAATTGAGTTTTAATTATTACAAACTTAAAAAATAGATTTATCTGATATTTTAGAACAACTTTCATATAGAAAGTTTTTGCACGAAACGCGATGTTTAGTGGTTTGAAAAGCATGACACAAGTATCTAAATTTTCATCCATTTCTCATCGTAAAAACTACTCATAAGGAGCATCGTAAAAACTACATCTTTCCACTATGCAGAGGGGATGAAATTTTGGATACTCGTGGCACGCTTTTCAAACTGCTAAATGATGTGTTTCGTACGAAAACTTTCTATATGAAAGTTGCACTAAAATATCGTATTAATCTATTTTTTAAATTTGTAATAATTAAAACTCAATCAATCATACGTTAATGCCATCTCGTTTTACGTAAAAAACTTAATCTTCATCTTCGGCTGTGTTTAGTTCACACCAAAATTGAAAGTTTGGTTGAAATTGAAACGATGTGATGGAAAAGTTAAAAGTTTGTGTGTGTCGGAAAGTTTTGATGTGATGAAAAAGTTGAAAGTTTGAAAAATAACTTTGGAACTAAACACGGCGTTCTTCTTCATCTTCAGAAAAAAAGAACACCAAACATTAATAGGTGGATTGAATCGAGAGGCCGTTTGTGGATTGAAATCATTATACTAGTGCTTGATCTCCCAGTCAGGGAGAAACAACAAACGGCTTAATCCAAAGCCCAGACTGTTCGTGTGAGGAAGCCAGAAAAGGCCATCACCGTTACTGAAACGTTGTTCTTATATGCCACTGCTTTTCCGCCATTTGGCGAACGGTTTCAACGTTTCTGCCCTTACGCAAATGCAAGCCACTTTGGAACATTTCCTGGGTAAATATATATGGACCATTCATTTTAGGGATGCCTTGACATGTTCTATCAATTTAGTACATTTTTCCTTCCAAAATCCCAATCATGCTTGGTTTGCAGAGGGACCCTTCTTCTTCGACGCCACTTTACTGAAGAAGCTCCCATCGTAGACAGTTCTGACAGTGTCCTTGCGAAGGAAACCATCCTTGTCCTTCCCGAGCTTGAACGTCGTCTCCCACTCCGTCGATGCTCCGACCCTGCATTTTCTCGTGGTACAAAAGTAGTGCAAGCGAATACAGTGAGCAGACCATTTGAACAGATATACATGCATATGGTTTCTGAAGCTATCAGCTAGCAAGAGATTACCATCCTTTGTAGTCCTTGGGTTCTCTGTTTGCACGAAGCATCTCGTCCAGTTCGGCTGCTGTCAGGCCATCGGGTACAGTTTTTGCATGCTTGGTAAATATCTCATCGAACTTTTCATTGACAAACCTGCAGCAGAGTTGAATATACTACTAGCATATCAAAAAGATGATTGTGAATTATATGTGTGGAAGAACGTAAAAGAATAATCTATGTTGCAAACAGTTCAGACAATCCAAGGCAATTTGCTGAACTCGCTTGTATCATTACTGTTTGGAGAGTCTACGAAATGACTACCTTCCTTCTGAATCGAATGCGCCAGTATCACTTCCATGGACCCCTTTGTGGATGTTCTCTATATAGATAGAAAACCGTGATGCTGTTGCATTTTCCTGCGTGCATTTGGAAATTTGGAAAAAGCACAAACTGTCAGTTTTTTTCTTTATATCACGCATAACCAGGGGAATTATGCGCCAAACGAAACATATATAAAGATGTGACAGATCATACAGGTCTGGTCTTGGTACCGAGGGCGCCATTGATTACGGTCGCGCTGAATCTGGAGGTAACAACTCCAAATCCGAGCGCACGGAACCCTGCAGGCACCATTAAAAAAAATATCAAAATGCAGTCTTAGATCTCCCTTGAATTGAAACAACATATTAAAAGAAATTATGCTGTAACAATTTAAGGGAGATATAAGGCTGCGTTTGACATTTAGCAAGCAGAAAACGGAGGATAGGACAGGCATGGCCACCCACCTTCGTACGTCTCGGAGAAGGAGATGATGCCGTCGTGGTTGCTGTCGAAGAACGCCACGTGCTTCTGCAGTTCCGTCGCAGCGCCAACCGCCGCCGCCGCCGCCGGGCTCCCTTTCCTCGGATCGATCGCAAATTCGTAATGGAAAACGTAGCGATCGAGTAAGCAAATTAACGAGACACGAGACCAACAAATCAGACGCGCACGCACGCGCGCGTGCCACAGAGGATATTGTGTGTTACAGGGCGTTTACAGGAGGACGACGAGGCGAACAGGACGAGAGCCATGGCCGCAGCCGTCGCCGGAGACGACCATCGTCGACGAACCTCCATTTGTTGTTGGGTCACTCGCCTCTGGTGCTGCGTGCGCGCGCCTCGTTTGTACTCTCCGACGATCGGCAAAAATTTCCTATGCAAAGCTTTGGTCGATTCGTTTGCGGGCCAAATAAACTCGCCCAAATACAACCTATAATTAGCCAATTCCGTCTCCAACAGCCTATCTATGAGTCTATCTATCTATACATCTACTTAGCTAGTATATATCTATCTTTAATTTTGGCGTCTAGTATTTACATTGATTGCTTTGTGTATAATCGTGTATGAAATATATTTCTATTTTAAAATATGTTTTGTATTTAAAAGATAAACTATATGAAATTAGAAACTAAAAGATATATATCAAAACTAATTTATAGAAAAATATGCATTAAATCTAATTATTCCTTATCTCAATTGGGTATGAAACTCCACAAAATTAGGTGTAACTAGTAATATATGCCCGTGTATTGCAATGGTTCTATATGGTTAGAGTAAGTTTCACAAGTTTATATATGAGATGCGAGCATGTGGTGGGAGGAGAGAATAAAAGTAGGACGGCTCTTCTTCTTTTATACCGTTGTAAAATAAAGATAATCCGCTAACTTGCTTCTTTGTCATTTCTAGTTTAGTGAGCCCAACCTAATTTACTACTAGTAGTATTTTGCAGGAAAAAAAAGTCTATTTTGTCTCTCATTTGTATGAGGCAGAAACTTGTCCCACGTATGGTTCAAAGGCCGAGCCCCACCCTTGTAATAATGTCTCTTGCCTCTGTTTAAATCGCTTCCCTTAACCTAAAAACCAGGCATAACGTTTCTCCCATCTTTAAAACCACTGTAAATCGACTCATTCGTGGTTTCAAAAGCGGTTTTATTGTGGTGCTTGTAGGACCCACATGTCAATAAAAATTAAAAAAATAATCACACATGTCAATCATCCTTATTGCCTTTTTCTTTTTCATCTCTACTCCCCTATCTCTTTCCGTTCTCTCTCTCCAGTTGGCGGCAGCGACATGCCAAGTCCTTGGGGCCCACACCCTATAGCCGGCCGACAAGCTTCTCCCCTGCGCACCACCCATCTTGCCACCGCCTTCAACGGCTCTTGGCGATGATGCCATATAGACAAGCCCAGCAGCAGAGAGGGACGTCACGACGGCAACCGCGTCATCTCGTCCATCAGTCCCTGCCCTGCACTTCGTCACACTCGCATGGCTTCGCGTCCTTCTCCCTGGAAGCCGTCGGCATCTTTGCATCGCATCTTCCTCTTCCATCTCCTGACTCCTTTTTTTCCCCGTGCATCGCCACCACCCCCGGTGATGCTAGCCTTTGCTGCCGCCTGGAGAGAGAGAACGGCAGAGAGAGGGGTGAGGTGAGGAAATAGAAAAGGAGATTAGGATAATATGTGGGGCAGTAAATTTTTTTTTACTGATATGTGGGTATCACGAGCGCCACGTAAGATAGAACTGATCCTGAAACCATAAGGAGTCTATTTACACCGGTTTTCAAGAGATGTATGGTTGAGGAAGTCGATTCAACCAGGTCTAAGAGTTGAGACGGAAAATAGACCAATTCCTTTACGGGCTAAACTTAGCCCAAACAGAGCAAATTCCTACCCATGAAGCCCATCTGTAGAAACAGAAGGATCCAGTGCAGGCCAACTCCACAGCCGCCAGCCCAACAAGCGCTAATGGTTCACGGACCAACTCGACGCCAGGTCGGTCTCGGTCCAGCCGGCGTGCCTCCCTCGTGCTCGCGCCTGCTGCACACTTGCTCACTGCACCAACCGCGCCGCCGTCGGGCTCGGGCCGCCAACCCGCCCGTCGTACGCTGCGACTCCGTGACTTGATCGTGTCAAGTTGCCACTTGGCCCCCCCGGTCCGGTCGAGCTGCCCCCGCTTGAACGAGCCCGTCCGTTCGCTCGGCCGGACCGGAGACGATTCTTCGCTGTTTCTGCCCGTAATTTTGACAAATTGACCCTCTGAGAAAACTTATTTTAAAAATAAACCATACCAAAAACTTATTGCAAAAATAGGCCGTCGTCTCAGCGCCAAACTTATTGGCGCTGAGGTATAATGCCTTAGCGCCATGTATATTAGCGCTGACATTTCATCTGAGATGGTAAAAAAATTTGCCAAGTCACTGGGGTTAGTGGCATAGCTTACGGCGCTGAGCTATTGACGTTGAAAATGATCTTCTGGACTTTTTGGTTTGCATGTTCTCGTGTAGTGTGGTGGCAGGAGACTTTGCCTCTCATCTCATTAACCACGGTTCAATCCCTATGTTTTACATCCTTTGGATGTTTTTTTTATTTTTATAGCATATTTTTTATTAGTCTTATAAATTAGGAACAACTAAATTTGAGAACATAAATTTTATAGCATTAATACTTATATTCATAAAATTTTGAAAGTACGCAGCATTTAACATTTCATATGTTTTATGTTTAAAACAAGATCATTACACATAAATGTAAGAAATGTAATTTTAAAATAAAAAATTAGGAGGTAAGTGTTAACATAAATTACATAGTATTTATTTTTATAGTTATGAGTCAAAAGAACCATAATAAAAATATGAGAACATGTAGTATATAGCATTTCATACTTACAATTGATAAAAAAAAGTACTAGTATATAGCATTGAATGCAAGCAAAATGTGTAGTTTGCAAAGAAAATATAAATTGATAAAAAAAATAATTCTAAAGATGTGCATGCCTGGGTTCGAACTGTGGTCTGTGCACTGGGAGCAAAAGCACATGACCATCCCACTAGCATCGCGCACGCATAACAGAATGTTCCAGAGAGTTTTTAATACTGCTAATAGGTCAGCCCCAAAAGCTATGGCGCTAACCCCTATTGAGCTGGTAATTTTACCTCGGATGAAATGTTAGCGCTAATATATATGGCGCTAAAGCGTTATACCTCAGCGCTAATATTTATAACGCTGAGCCGCCGGCCTATTTTTGCAATAAGTTTTTGACACGGCTTATTCTTGAAATAAGTTTTCTAAAAAAGTCAATTTGTCAAAATTAGTGTGTTTCTGCGGCGTGAACTGCAACTACTATACGGCGAGCGTCGTTCCATGCAAACATGGCACACGCAGCTCACGAACAGTTAAGAAACCAGGCGGAAGTGAGAGTTACCAGCATTAACGCCTCCTTCATCAAAAAGAGAAAAGAAAAAAAGAAGCACCAAAAAATAAAATCTTTGTCTAGTGGTTTTGTCTTCGTTGACATGTCACAGCGTCGGTGACGCAAGTTTATCGTCGTCTCCCTCTCACATACTTACGTCTCTACACGGTAAAAAGCGGATTCCACTTCCACCGCGAGGAAGGAAATAAAGCACACACCGAATCACCGGCACCAAAATTTCCACCGATGGTTACAAGCCCGAAACGACAGATTAATTAACACGATTAGTTAAACTTTCACGCCCGGTGTGGAGGGGTCCAAACAAAACAGAGGGCGCCAAGTTGTTTTTATCATCTACTAGTCCTACTTGGCTCGCGTAAGCGAGAGCCGGGACTTGTCACTAGTTTATCTCGCAGCACCTAACGCCTTGACAGCGAGGTCGCGTTGCATACGTGGACCAGAGCAACACAAGGTGCCCAGATTGATTAATCATCTCGTCTCATCTCTTTCTAAGCACTGTATTATGATTATGATTATGATTATTATTATTATTGCCCCGTCACCGTGCCGACCAGCCCCAATAATTTTACGGCCCCAGACAAATCTTATTGCCCTCCCTAAGTCAAGTCAGTCTACGCATTAATCCGAGCCGATCGGGGTCGCCGTCGGGCATGTCGCCGTCGATCGGCAGTGCGGCGAGGCAGCAAGGCACCGGTTGGCTTTTCTTCTTGTTTTTTTTTTTTTTACTCATTGGAGCAGAGAAAATACAGGGGTGCACATGGCCCCATCCGTTCTTATCTGCAGGCCACGCTTTTGAAAAATCGGGGGAGCCTAGTGACAGCCCATAGGGCGCGGCCCGTGGGGCCCAGATGCAGTCGCCGTCGAGGGAAATTTCGGTTTTTTGGCAGGGCCCGGTTGTTCCAGATGAGATCCTCCCCGTAGTAATTAATTGGTTATTACTGCTCCAGAAAGGGAGAAGTGTGCGGTGTCATCTCTCTTTCCCCTCTGAAAATGCTGTTTAATTTGAAAACGATGCGTTTAAAGTTTGTGTATCAAGATGTGAGATTGAGAGTGAGAGTTCGGTCCACTACGTGTCGTGATCTTGCACACTTGTTTCAATCGAGCAATGTAGTAGAGAGGGATACTTCTTCTGCAAAGCGAAGGAATCTCATTTAATTTCCAGCCACGGGTAAGAACCAAGATAATCGCGGTACACACGCTGAGATAAGGAAGAGCGTGTCCACATGTAGCTGTCGATGAGCTTACCAGCAGGTTTATGAGCTGTCTGGTGTCAGTAGGGTGAGTAATTGCTTGATTTTCTTTTTGCTGAACACTTCAATTACCATCAATCAGCTCATTAATTGTACCGACACGAAATGGCACTGGTAATTACTGCGGTTCATTTTGACACTTTTTGTTGCTTCAAAGGAAGAATCTCGAATTGCTTTCGCAATGTGGTGTTTTAAATTAATTGGCTTGTTCCAGCTTCGATCTTTTTTTACAAGATGCCGAATCTTCAAACTTTCTAAAATTCTCGCGCCGTTATTTCGCCGCGACGTACGTATACACGACGACGACCCCTGCAACCCCAAATGAAGAGTCGTCGTCGTCGGCGTGCTCCGATCTCCGCGCGGGGCATTCGTCCGCCGTCGTCTCGCTCTCCGGTGAGGGCGGCCAAAATATATGGTGCTCGATCGAGATGTGATCGAGCCCGGCCGGCCTGCCGCTTCACCGGGAGAGCGAACACGACGCCGGCGACTTCGCGCCGCCGCCCGTGCTGTGCTCGTAGCCCGCCCGTTTCCCTTCTCGCGCGACTCAGCTCGCTTTGATTTTGGTTGGGTTTACAGCGCAGACTGCAGCTTGTTGGTGGCGTGCCGGGAGACGAGCCGCTCGAGCGCCTCACGCATCCAACCGTGCTGGCATCCATCCATCGCCTGCTGCACCGTGGCCTGCACAAAATCGAATCGGCATTTAGACGCCCGTGTTCGTTCTTTGGTCGATCGAATTCGATCGTTCTCGCCGTAGAATGGCGAATTTCCGTGTATCAAAGTGCGATGGGGGGGTCATGTACTACTACTACTCACCCAGGTGCGCTTGCGGGAGGACATCTCGGGCCACTGGAGGAGCTCGTCGGTGACGCGGAGAGGGAACATGAAGCCCTCGTAGGTGGTGTCGTAGCGGCGGCTCTTGTAGTACCAGCAGCCGAGGGACGTCTCGGTGTCGCCGCGGACGCCGGCCTCCTCGAGCGCCTCGCGGCGGGCGGCCTCGTCCATGGACTCGTCGAGCTCCCACCCGCCCTTGGGGAACATCATGCCGTGCCCCTTCTGCGACGTGATCACCAGCACCTCCATCTCGCCGCCGCTGCGCACCCGGTACGGGATGCAACCCACCACGATGCGGCCCCCGGCGCTCGTGTACCGCTGCAGCTCCCGCCCCTGCCTCGCCACCAGCACGGCCATCGAATCTTTGATTGTTGGAGAGAGAGAGTAGGGTTGTCGTTAGGGTTAGAATTGGTGATGCGAGAGGATGGTGCTTTGCGGCCATGGAGGTGGAGCTCGCGGGTATTAGTAGCGGGAAGCGCGTCAGGTCAATGGAACGCTGTCGCTGTCGCGGCCGAATGAGCGATGGGGTAACATGGGGTATGGAGCATGGACGAGCCCAACTGGTGCAAGGTTGGTGGACGCAGCGTACTGATCTTCTGTGGCTCAGCTTAAGTTCGAGGAGCCAGATTCCGCTTGGCCTCATCATGGCCTGGTCCTAGAGTACCTGTTTCTCTTTTTCCTTATAAAAAACCGGGATAACATCTACTCTAAGAAGACCCTGTTTAGTTCCCACACATAAACTTTTTATCATATCACATCGAATGTTTGGATACATATATAGAGTATTAAATATAGACAAAAAAAGTTAATTACACATATTGCGTGTAAATTGCTAGACGAATCTTTTAAGCCTCATTTCTTCATGATTTGACAATGTGTTGCTACATTAAACATTTGATAATGATGGATTAATTAGGCTTAATAAATTTGTCTCGCAGTTTATACGCGGAATATGTAATTTGTTTTATTATTAGTCTACGTTTTATACTTCAAATGTGTGTCCATATATCCGATATGACACGCTAAAACTTTTCACCCCTGCAACTAAAAAGAGCCTAACATAGAGATAACCTGGTCTTTCTTGTGCGTCTTGTGCAGATAAGTAAAGAAGGAAGAATGTGTAAAATTCTTCTGGGACTGATTGGTTTCCTACTATTTTTCTTGACCACTTTAGTGTATGTCTTTATTAAAGCTAAAAAAAGATGATGATTTCTTTGCAACTCTAGGTATTTGATGTTATAGGTCTTGTGGTTAACCATAGATGTAATTTATTAGCATGAATGCAAATTAAGTGGTGTATTTCACCTTATGTCCGTTGTCCAAGAGAATATTCAGAATTAAGTGGTCCTTCTCATGAAACATGTCATGAGGAGACTCCCTATCCTAAAACAGATCAAATCCTGCGTATAAATTTAGGCCGAGTTTAGTTCTAAAGATTTTTTTTTTAAACTTCCAACTTTTCTATCACATCAAAACTTTTCTACACACACAAACTTCCAACTTTTCCATCACATCATTTTAATTAACCAAACTTTTAATTTTAGCGTGAACTAAATACACCCTAATACATATGGTTCTTCATATTCGTAGTCAGAATTTATTTTTTTATGGAAAGTAGGAAGTACCTACACGTACATTTCAGACATCATTGCTATGTACTTCTCCTGTGCATATCTAGAATCGATTATATTTGTGGATAGATGTAATACTATATACACGTGTGAATGGGTTTAGTGATAAAGCGTGTAGCCTGATCAGCGGGTATGCATGTGTCCAAATAAAAGAATATTCAGATTTGTTTTCAAGCTAATATATCTCTAAGACATTGGTCATTTGTAATCCCTTTCATTTTGGGTACACCAAATGAAGGAGTACTCCTTTTCTTTCTTTTATTTTTTTATTATAGCACATTTAACTTAGCTATTGTAATCACTAAATCAAATGTCATCAACTTTTGTTAGATGATTGATTAAGACCCTCCTCTTATCCTTTTCCTTTTAATAAAAGGGAGTACCGTTCATTAGAAACTTCCACAAGAAATTTGCACCCCGGTTGCATCAGCTGTACTGAAAAGAGTATATGTACAAAGAGTAAAGTACTATCAGTAACTTGCAAGTAATGAATTTTTACCATAGTTTTCAACTTTGGAGGCTAAAGTTTTAAAGTAAGCACTAGATGAATCCTTGCTTCCACATGTACTGGACCACAATGTGAAGGATAAGACCACCCAGAGAACAATAAATAGGTTCTTTGGATTAAATTCGTCAGATTTAGCTATCAAGATAGACTGTTCCATGGAAAACAATTTCATATCCAGAAGATATCAACGTGGCAACAATGTTCTTTATTCTACGTTTCTACTCCCTACATCCCATAATATAAGAGATAATGGATGGATGTAACATATTCTAGTACAATAAATCTAGACAGACGGTTTGTTCAGACTCATTGTACTAGAATGTGTTACATACACCCATTATCCCTTGTATAATAGGACGGAGGGAGTATGTTATTGAGAATCCGTTTGTTGATCGTGTATATGTCTATGTTATTTCATATTGTAGAAAGGAAAATATATTTGAACTTGAAACAATAGAAATATAACGTTGAAGTGACAACGAATTTTTTTAGGAGAAATATTTCTTTTTGAAAAAAAAACAGAAGTATATTTAACTCTGTATGTTAAAAAAGAATAAATTAAATGACCACTTATGACAAAACAAGATATATGCAACGAGGTGTCTATTATTCTAACGCTACGTTTCACAGTATTTTTTACTGCATGCTCAACACATCAGATTAGCAGATCCACCCATAGTAAATGTAAGGATATGAGACTGCATATATACTTAGTCACATCAAGAAAATCGTAGTGCTCTCTGTTAAGCATGGTCGACAACAAATAAACATACTACAACTATCTCTCTCCTCAATCTCTCATTTTTCATGTAAGTGAAAATTCAACTTGGATAAAATTTTACTACTTACATACGGCTGATACACCAATTGTACATACCCTTAATTAATACTCTCCCGTTCCTAACCGCTTTTATAAAATGGCCAGCAAACTTACTTCAAAGAATAGTCAATAACCATACCCGGTTGTGAATTGGCTGCTAATAAAGTAACCTTTTCTTAAACTAAAGAAACCCTACTGGAACATGCACCCTTCCTACTACTACTTCCTACTCCTTCCATTTTATATTCCATTTTATATTACAAGTCATTTGATTTTTTTCCTTAACTAAATTTTTTTAAATTTAATCAAATTGATAGAATAATATGCTAGTATTTTCAATACAAAATAAACATATTATCAAAATATATTAATGTTAAATTTAGTGAAACTAATTTGATGTTGTAGATGTTGCTATTTTTTTCTATAAACTTGATCAAATAGCACGGTACAAACGTATATGTCCACGTGTACCCTCACCTACTGTGAACACATATGTACACTATGTGTATATCTGTATGATAATTTCCAAAAGGCTAGGCCGAAATAAAGGAAGTACTTCCTACTCAAGTAGAAAGTGGAGTGCCCTGTCCATGGACTGCGTCCACGCAAGTAGGCCGGGGAAACGGCGTCCGTGTTGCCGATCGAGAGCCCGAGAGGTGGAGATGAAGCGGACAAAGCGCGTACCTACGGGCTACGGCTGAGTGGCCGCGCCCGCTCCCGCGCTTCGCAGTCGCTTCTCTCGTTTTCATCTGAACCCATGGATGGATTGGCCTATCTCCTCCTCCCTCTCCGGCCAGTCACCTGCGCGTCCCTAGTGTACACATCCATCGCTATAAGTTTTAGCCGAAAATCCCGTCGATGGCCAAGTCCATCTTCTTCTCCATCAATTTAATTCCCGCGCTTAATTAATTACCCCAGCTTGCTCTAGCTAGCACCTTGTTTTATCGTATCCGACTATCCGTCGGTGTCGCCACTGACGTCGCTACGTTGTCTCCCTCCTCCCGTTGAGTTAAATTAATTGCTTCTTTTTGTTTTGTGCCTCGATCGACGAAGTAAACCAATCTGAGCTATTGTGATCGTAGTACAAGTTGCGTGACAGGGCTGTTTTGCGGCGACGTTCACACACGCACACTGCGTCGTCGTGCCCGTCTCTGCCTCTCCTCCTCGTCCTTTTCTTGTTTTTTTTTTCCCTTTTTTGAATCAGTGGCCATCTTTGATCTCTTCCATTATGGAAGGCGACGACGACGTGGTTTAAATACGGTTCGTTCTCTTGTTAACAATCTGGACAAACGTACATACATACGAGTAAAGTACGTAGCAATGGCGCAAGAAATACATGGCGACCGATCGTATCACGCTAATTTGGCCACATGAGAAACGCCGTACATATATACTGTAAATCGCCACGTTTCCAGGAGAATGTGAAAATTACGTGCGTACCCGTGTGTTTTCACACGGATATACCGGTGCGACGGTCTAATTCTGCTGCTTTGGATATTTTGTTATTAGTGATTATTACACCATCGTCATCCACGATCCCGTCGGTCCTGCCATTGTCGCCGACGCGAAATTAAGAAGCAGCAACGACGACGACAGAAGGGGCCGGGCCGGGGTTAAGCTTTCCGGCTATGTTGCAACCAGGTTTTGTTAAAGGCGAATAAAAGGTAGTATTATTTCTAGCTCTGGTTGGCGGACAGTGTGAGTCGCCAGGACTACCAACCAACCTACGGTTAGTTGTAGTTGGTTCTTCCAACCGATATCGTCACCATCCCGCGGCGTGGTGATTCGCACGGAAGTTTCACCCAATCATGCTGCCCATACTGCGCAAGATGGACGTACGGATACTTGTCCCGCCGAAAAGTCGAAAAATGCAACTATAGTTTGATGCATCGAATCAGGAAAACAACTTGGTTTCTGTACCGATCAATTCAGGTTTCTTTTTACGAAATCGGATCTGACTCTATGTCAGCACGTACTACTATTCCTACGTGCAATGAACCCACTTACTTTTCGTCGAACAGGCCAGTTTTATTTTTTTTTTCCTGTAGTGACAGGTAGCACGTTTGCTCGCTGTTCGGGACCAATCCGGTCACACCGCCACGGCCGTGTCCAGCCGCTGTAACCCAACGCCGCGACCGAGCTTGACGCCCCCGCGGCCCGCGCGCGCGCTCACCAACCGATACAAATCGCTCGCCACCGCGCCGCCGAGGGGAGCGTGGTGGTGACCACCGCGCCGAACCGCCGAGCTCGACAGGCCATGGCCCCGCGCGCCGTCCCGCCGCGCGCGCGCGTCAGTCCAGCGATGCGTGCGGTGCGCATCTGCCGTGCCGCGCACTTGCCTCGTGCACTGTCTCCACCAACATGGGCACACGCATTGATGGCTCGCGCGTGGCCGTGCCGCCTTGCCTGTTTGCGCGGTGGCTGCCATATCTCCGTTTTGTTTTTTTCTTGGCCCCGCGCTCGCTCGCTGCGCTGCGCTGCTCCGGCCTGTTT